CTTTCCTAGGGAGATTTATAGATCCAAATTTGCTTTTAGCAGATTAGTAAACATTCATCTGTGGAGCAGGCCTTCAGGTGGGAGCTGAGATTCAGGATGGTGGAAAGCACTTGGCAAACCAGGCTGGCCTTACTCTGCACTGAGTGAGGACCAGTTTGCCCAAGTCCTGCTGCTATGGCAACATCTCCAGGTCTGCTAGCTCCCTTGGCACAGGGGACCATGTACACTATTCATTTTGATACAAATCATCACACACATATATCTTAAGATGGAAGCAAGAAACTGGTTAAAGCAGGTGAATTAATAATGATCCTTGCCCATCTCAGTAAGAGTTTAACCAGCTTGAGGTTCACATTTCACTTGTTAATTATTCGTCTTCTTTTTTAGAAAGCATTAAGACTGGGAGAGCCTAGGGTCAATACCTTACAAATGACACAAATTGAAGGACTTGAGACCCCTCCGTTCATTCTCAGTACAGCCCCCTGGATGCCTCCAGCAGCTCATCCATTTCTGCTAGGCTGGGCCTAGATGTAGACAGGAGAATGAGTGTAAACTCTCAAGTGAAACCTTCCTGGGTCTCTGCCATTTATCAGTGGATTGACACTGAACTATTTATCTCCACAGCGTGTCTAATAATTTATAATCATCATACAGATGTTGTGAACATCAGTAACCATGGCAGTGAATGTCTACTGACAACTGCTGAAGGCCTAGGCACTACTCTGAAGTGCTCTATCTATTTCATCTCTTGTAATTCTGCTCTGGTCGGAATTCCCAAGCTGAGGTCTGAAGATTGGTATTTTTTTTAAACCTCCCCAGTTAATTCTCAGATCAGTCAAGTTGAGAACCATGGCTGTGTAATAATGTGTACACAATGATTAATGGCTCGGGATCTAAGAGAGATTGAGAGAGAGAGAGAGAGAGAGAGAGAGAGAGAGAGAGAGAGAGGCTTCATGCTATCATGCACTAGCTGAATGCACTTGGCCAAAACTTTCGACTTGTCCAAGCCTCCCTCTCCTCATTTATAAGATGGGAACAAAAATTAGCATCCACCTCTAAGAGTTGTTCAGAAGGTAAAATGGACCTGTTTAGGTGACTGTGCCTGGCATACACAAAATGTTTGGTAAATGTTATCTGGTGCCATTGGGCCAAATCCCTTTTCTTTCTTTCTTTCTTTCTTTCTTTCTTTCTTTCTTTCTTTCTTTCTTTCTTTCTTTCTTTCTTTCTTTCTTTCTTTCTTTCTTTCTTTCTTCTTTCTTTTCTTTCTTCTTTCTTTCTTTCTTTCTTTCTTTCTTTCTTTCTTTCTTTCTTTCCTTTCTTTCTTCCTTTCTTTCATTTATTTATTAAAGACACACACACACACACACAGAGAGAGAGAGAGAGAGAGAAGCAGAGACATAGGCAGAGGGAGAAGCAGACTCCATGCAGGGACCCCGATGTGGGACTCGGTCCCGGATCCCGAGATCACGCCCTGAGCTGAAGGCAGATGCTCAACTGCTGAACCACCCAGGCGTCCCCCAACTCCTTTTTCTTAAGTGACTAAGAGTCCAAAGACCTGATCTTTGTGCACAGGTCATGTTGTCTTAGTTGAAATTTGTGCTTTTCCAACCACATTGTTCATTTCAAATTCTAAGTGTTAGGGAAGAGAGACTAATGTGTTACAGTGGAAAAATCCTTGTGTTTGATCCAGCAGAATTGAGTTTGAATTTGTATGTCTGCTTGACCCTCAGTTTCCTCATTCATAGCATAGGGGAACAATCCTCTGCACCATGGTGTGACTTGAAGATAATTCAGTAAGGGGTGCAACATACAGGAATTGTATTATTGCCAGTGTTGTGGTTCTAAAATGTGCAAGATGTGAAAGCAAAAGGGTGGAAAACCCTTAAAAAATTCAAACAGGAAACAGAGGCAGAGGGTCAGGAGGAGTTAGAGGATGAGGAAAAACTGAGGAGGGCTCAGAGTCCTGGGGATAAGTGTCCATGTTACCACCACTCCAGGCTTAGTGATGGAGGAGGCATTGGTTACTACTACACCTAACAGCATGGCCTAGGAGCAAACAGTGTTGTTACCCCCATTTAGGACTGGGCCAGACCCAACCATTTTCTTTTGCAGGCTCTCCCATTTCAGCTAGAGGCCCACTCTGACCCCAGAAGAGCCCTGCCATATGAACCCATGCATGGTGTGGTCCATGGCTTCAGCACTGAGATCTGAGAACAGAGGGACAATTCCTCTCCCCAGACCTCTTTCAAAGGAGAATGGCATTTTACTAGGTACCCTAAATTATAAGGGCCTGAAAATTACAGGAGTTATTAATACTAAATTTTGTTAATATAAATGCTTTCCTACAAAGTATTCTCCTACAGCTTCCAGGTGTAGCGGGGGAACTCTTCTCTTCTTCTAGGTTCCTTCTTTGGCCGGTTTAATAATTAAATTGACATAAGACAGAGTAACAAGAGAATAATAAATTCCATTTCATACGTATAGGAGCTCGTAGAGTATCAGACTCAAAGAAACGACTAATGCAGGCAGCTTTATTTTTAAAGATTTATTATTTATTCGACAATAAGCACGTGTGAATGAGTGGGGGGGTGGGTAGAGGGAGAGGGAGAGAATCTCAAGCAGGATCCTTGATGAGTGCAGAGCTCTGTGTGCCCTCCATCTCACGACCCTGACATCATGACCTGAGCTGAAATCAAGAGTCAGACATTCACTGACTGAGCCACCCAGGTGTCCTCAAAGCAGGCAACTTTTATACCTTTTAGAGAAATAGCAAATTTGTGAAAAATTGACAAAAGAAAGATGTTTGGGCTTGAAGTAGTAAATTAGTGAGGAAGTAACAAGCTTTGCTCACGTCTTCTCAGCTCTAACTTCCCTGTCTAGGTCCCTGACACAGGGAGGGTACCTTTCACATCAGAGACTTACTTTCTGCCTTCAAGGAGGAAAAGGAGGTTCAAGCTGTCCTTGCACTGGTTATTTCTTAGGAAACTCAAATTAAAACTAACCCTTAGGTGAAGTGGTGTATTTTAGGGTGCCATATTATGCCCCTTTCAGGAATCAGTTAGTTTACAGGGTGACACACTGCCTACACCCCTCCTCTGATGGTTGGAAATTGGGCAGCTGTTGCTTTAAGAAGCACTCCTTGTTTGAGTGAGTCATCTCTGTCTTCTTGCTTTGGAAATCGAATTTATTTTCTAGATCTTTCAGTCGAGGAATTTTGTTTCTTGCTTGCTGAAGACCACGTTCTGCTCTTGTCTTTTGTGATTTTCTTTCAAGCCCTGCTGAACTCCCTGATAAATTCTGAACGTGGAGAATAGGAAGTGAGTCCCCTGGGGGAGGCAGAAAGTGCAGTTATCGAAAGTAAAAGAAAACTTCTTCCTGGAGGTGTTTCCATCTGCACCCTTCTCATCCCCGCCCTCTTTCAAGGGATTTTTCTCATTGTGTGGACAAGCCCTAAGAGTTTGTGGGAAATTATGCAGTTCAGGGGTGCAGTGGGCACTTGGTGACTGTGATGTGGCTGGGACAAGGTGGAGCAGGTGAGTGCCTGGAGCAGAAGGAGGCTCCTGAACCCCAGGTTCCTGGGACTGGTCAGGGGGCACAGTGGAGACTCCTCAGGGTCCCGCCAGGGCCCCAGGTCTCCGAGTGGGCTTTCTTTCCTGGCTACAGCCACGGGCCTTGCTCCTTTTTAACTCAGGGATCTCCACTCCTCTGCTCCGTTTCCCCTAGTGTGTCCTTATACATACAGACACAGTGTCTCTCCTGCTGGATCAGTTTGGAGAGTCCATGAGGCACTGTTTACCGATTTCATTTGTTTTCTTTTCCATTCGGGCAGAGGGTTGGTGCTTTCTTCCATCTCCCTCTGCCACCCTGCTTCCTATCCCCCCTGCTGCCTCTCAAAAGACAGCTCTCTAAATCTTCTGATGCTATCCCTGAACAGATCTGTATCTTTGCAAAATGTATCATTGTGTGTGTGTGTGTGTGTGTGTATACACTATTTTTTAAAAGATTTTATTTATTTATTCATGAGAGACACAGGGAGAGAGAGAGAGGCAGAGACACAGGCAGAAGGAGAAGCAGGCTCCATGCACGGAGCCTGATGCAGGACTCGATCCCAGGACCCAGGATCACACCCTGGGCTGAAGGCAGGCCCTAAACCGCCGAGCCACCCAGGGATCCCCTATACACTATTTGTTAACTGTGAACTGGAATGAGTAAGTAATTTCTCTGTGCTTCTGTTTTCTCACCATTAAATGGAATTCATACTACCTCATGAAGTGGTCCTGAGGATTTAATGAGATAATACACGTTAACCACTTCCAACAGTGACTAGTGCTACAAAAGTTCTCAAGTACTAGCAATTATTACTATGTATTGGTATTATTTGGGTTGTATCTTGCTCATTCCGCTTCTTTTTAAAAAAGGAAGCATTCTGGGATTTGAAGTTCCATGTTTTGCCAGGTCCCACTTTCTAACCCCTGGACAGTCTTTACAGTCCTATATAAAGAACTTGCCCAACAATCCTTGGTCTGATCCAACTTGACCAATCTGATAGGTATAAAATGGGTATTGTGTTGTTTATTTTGCATTTCTGAGGTTATTAAAATGTTTGAGCATCACTTTGAACATTTTGGCTTTTTTAAGCATCCCTGCGAAGGAACTCCATGTTCATACCCATTGTCCCTCTACAGGGTTTCTTCTTCTCACTGATTTGCAGGAAATGTTTGTGGGTTATAGACATTGCTACTCCCGTGGCAGGTTCTGGGAACACAGACATGAAAGATGTGATTCCTGCCCTTGTGAAGCTCACAGCTGGTCATAAAACAGTGGAATGAACGCTGGGATGGATGCTTAGGAAGCATCAAGAATCAGGGATTCCCTCCTGGGCTAGGATTGAACTAACAGGATTTCCTTCTGTTGCTGTGTTCTTACTCAATGGACAGATCAAGTGGTAGTGAAGGGCATTGGTAGTACTTACCCTGGCACTTTTCTTCCTCCCTCTACAGGTGAAGAGGCACCTTCAGACACCTCATTTAATCGTCTCAGCTCTAAGGTGAGTCTCTGCCCTCAGAAAGCTAATATTCTATTTGGGGAAAGAAAAAGGACAGTTTCAAAGAAGAGAGGTGTTTAATTGTTGTTCTTTCTACTTTTAACATCGGAACACATCTCAGCTGATTCACAGCAAAGAGGCTAGGCTAATGTGCGTTTTGTTCAGTTATATCTCCAGGGTCCAGACTACACTGAGGACCCTAGGATTTGTCTGTCCCTTTGGTGAGGTCATCTGGGCCTCTCAGGAGAAAGGGCCTTGACTCTAGAGTTGTCTAGGCTGCTGAGGCTGGGATCTGGTGGGCTCAGGGTCCATGGAGGTGATCCTGGGAAACCATGAGAGTTAGCTGTGGGGGTTAGCAGATCCTCCTAGAACCATGCTGAGGGCCCCACACTTTTCAGATCTCTTGGAAGTGCTCAATAAATATTTGCTGAATGAAAACATTTAAGTCTTCATAATGAACCCAGAAAAATCTGTAAATTCCTGAAATATGAAAAGAAGGGGTTCTTAGTTACCATCCAGACCACCTTTCTTATTTTGGAATGTGGTAATGAGGCCCTAAAGGCAGAACGACCATCCAAACACACAGCCAAAGCCAAAAGCTCAGGTGGCCCAGCTCCCCACCTGTAACCTGTCCCCTGTTTCTCTCACACTCTTGAATTCTGGGAGGACATACTGCTCTGGGGCAAGCTAGCCTTACTCAGCCTAAATGAGTCACTATTTCACAAACAGGAAGTAGAGCGGAGCTAGCTTAGTTCTGTACTCTTGTTTTAGTCGTGTGTCGTGTGCCCGGGAGAAAACAGGCCTCTGGGGAAGCTGCTGCTGCTGCTTGAGGGTCCTAGGATTATCGGCTTCTTTGGTAAGGTTGGATGGGCCTCCGGGAAGAAAGACCTTTGATTCTAGACGTTTCTAGGCTATTGAGGGTGAGAAAACGGTAAGAATTAGTAGTCCCTCTGAGAGCCATGGGGAGAGCCCCACAGATTCCACATCTCAAGGCGCCCTCCAGCTTAGGTTAGGTTTTTCTGGAATGTTCCAAGTATTACTATCTTTACAGAGAGCTCATCCTTAATTAAAGCATGGCCAAAGCAGGGGTAGAGTTGGGACTCTGGAAGGAGATAAAGTGTGATTTCTCAGATTCTGACCTTTCTGCCGCAGTAGACTTATTAAAGATTCCTGGTTTTGTGTTTTGGGACTATCTTTGTCTTTCAATTTTTAAAAATATTTTAATCTTTGAAAAAATTATGATTACATGTCTTTTTTTTTGGTTAAATTCTTTCACTGGCTTCCAACTGCAAGTAGAATAAAATCTAAATCTTTGCAGAGCCTGTCGTTGAAACTCTCCAGTAAGATGTTCAAATTTGAGCCCGACGCCTCTCCTACAAGCTTATTTCTAAACTGATTTTCACAATCGTAACATGAAGATGATAATACCAATTTTTCAAAGGCTTGTAGTAAAATAAGTAAAAACATATTTTTAAGTTTATATGGATATGTTATAAACGCTTGTATATCATGATAGAAACATTTATGTATATCATACTTTTGGGAATAAATTTATTATTAAAATATTAAAGATACTTATATTTATATAATACAAATCTTTTAAAAAATATTTTATTTATTTATTCATGAGAGACACACACAGAGAGGCAGAGACATAGGCAGGAGAAGCAGGCTCCCTGAGGGGAGCCTGATGCAGGACTTGATCCCAGGACCCTGGGATCATGACCTGAGCCGAAGGCAGATGCTCAACCACTTAGCCACCAAGTGCCCCTACAAATCTATTTATATGGATTTATTATTTAACAGTTTTCGTATAACTGAAAGTGAAAGAAAATTTCCTCGAGGCGTTGCATCCCCATCCCTTTCTTCTACAGTGTATGCATTATGTATGAAAATATGAAATATTCAAATTTTTAAGTTTTATGTATGTATATAAACACACAGATATAGGTATAAATATATATATGTATTTACATACACACACACACACACACACACACACACGATTATAGATGGAAGGAAACCACCGAATATAACCAAAGAATTATTTCTAAATGGTGAGTTTCTAAGTGATTTTTCTTTTTCTCTTTATACTTTTCTGTTCGTTCTCTAAGGAATAAGTTTGACTTTTACGATTTTAGGATCAGAAAAATTCAAGAATAAGTTTTCTTTAAAAATTGTTACTGTGACAAAATTTCTAGCCCATTATGCAGGAAACCTAGGTCCCATAAAACAATATCCATTCCACGATCCTTGTACTTGTGGATCTTTGTGCCTAGAGGCGGCCCGTCATCAACGGTGTAAAATTCTGTTACAGCGAATTGCTTTTCAGGCACTATGACTAGAGAGATGTGTGGTCTAAACAAAGACTGAAGATGATGCCATAGTGTGTCCTGTAAAACCTGGACCAGAAAAGAAGCCCTGCCAGCATTTTCCCTACTAACCCTCCATTTATTTATTTATTTATTTATTTATTTATTTATTTATTTATGATAGTCACAGAGAGAGAGAGAGGCAGAGACACAGGCAGAGGGAGAAGCAGGCTCCATGCATCGGGAGCCTGATGTGGGATTCGATCCCGGGTCTCCAGGATCGTGCCCTGGGCCAAAGGCAGGCGCCAAACCGCTGCGCCACCCAGGGATACCCCTAACCCTCCATTTTGATATGCAAAAATCATTTAGAAAGCATTGTGTAATTATTGCAAAGATAATAAAATGAACGAGATGAAGCAGCGACAGAGGACAGGAGCCAAGTGCTGATCATGTTATAACCAAACCTCATATCATCCTGGCCTTGGATTGTAGTATTATTATTATAATATACTGTCATAAAATGCTATTGAATATGTAGTAACAAAAGCCTTAAAGAAGGTTTATTCCTAAATTGAACACCAATAAAAATTAATTTATTAAAAAAAAAAAAAGAAGGTTTATTCCTTTGGATCCAATAGTTATTACTTCTAGGAAATTATTCTAAGAAAATAATCAGAGGTGTACACGGAGACTTCCATTTTAAGAGCTTATTCTAAATATAAGCAGAGACTGGTTACATAAATTATGGCCCAATCCTGTGATTTTGTACTTTACAAATTTTAAAATCCATGCTATAGAAGAAAAAATGAAGATATCAAGATGTATTTACAACATTACCAGTGAAAAGTCCACTTATACCTCAGAAATATGGTATAATAAAATATGAGGGAAAATATAAATATATATAAAATGCTTGGTAGGAAAGATGGTAAAATATTATTAGGTGATTATCTTTGGATGGTGGAATTAGTAGGTAATTTTTATTTTCCCTTTTATCTTTTCTGTGCCTTCTAAAATGAATACAATAAGCATTGTTATCAGAAAAAATTATGGAGGAAAAAAAGAAATTCTGCTTTTATTTGATTCTTTGGTTCATTTGATTCTGTAAAATGAGATTTTATTTTATTTTTTTTATAAATTTATTTTTTATTGGTGTTCAATTTGCCAACATATAGAATAACACCCAGTGCTCATCCCATCAAGTGCCCCCCTCAGTGCCTGTCACCCAGTCACCACCACTCCCCACCCACCTTCCCTTCCACCACCCCTAGATCGTTTCCCAGAGTTAGGAGTCTCTCATGTTCTGTCTCCCTTTCTGATATATCTCACTCATTTTTTCTCCTTTGCCCTTTATTCCCTTTCACTATTTTTTTTATATTCCCCAAATGAATGAGACCATATAATGTTTGTCCTTCTCTGATTGACTTATTTCACTCAGTATAATACCCAAAATGAGATTTTAATAGAGGTTAGAACTGATTTAAAACTGTAAGGACATTGGAGCTAATGGTGCTAAACAGAGCTGGACCTAGTTTAGGTCTTTTCCAGCTTATGAATGAAATTGGGCCTTTAAGTAGTGATTTTCATTTAAATGTAAGTCCATGTAGGATAAATAATGCATGCACCTGGTAAAAATTCAAGGTGTCACCTTGAATTTTCTGCCACCTTTTTGGCCTCATCCACTCCAGCACTGGGCCTCTAGATCCTCTCTGAAGCAGCCGCTGAAGCAGCTGCCTGTGTATTGATTCTATTCAAAGATCTGTGAATACACAAATCCATGCACCACTTATTAGATCACACAAATCCAATCATGACGATCTTCCTATACTTTTTAAATATATCAGTAAAGTTTCTTTGAACTTCTCATACTGATAAACAGTTGTTTCTGCCCTTTTGTTCTTTCAAGCAATGCTGCCATGAAAAGCTGTGTACATGTTTTTAAGTACATGGCGCTTAACCTAATGTAGCAAAAACTCCTGGAAGTCAAATTGTGGGGTCATTTTATATTTTAACCCACAAGGCCAAATTACCCAACTGCCTGTTTTTATTTCCACCACCTCAAAACACTGTATTGCAAGTTTTGTACTTCACCAATCTGATAGTTGGAAAATGGTCTTTTGTAATTTCAAGTTACTTAAATTTTTTTTTTTTTTTTGTGAATGAGGTTGAATATCTTTTCAAATCTTTAAAAGCCATTGGTTTCAAAAAAAAAAAAAGCCATTGGTTTCAAGAAATAAAGCCACTGGTACTTAACTTTTCTCTGAACTGTGTGCTTATGATCTTTACCTGTTTATGCATTGGATTATTGGTCTTTATCTCTCTTTCAAAAAAAATTAACTTACAAGAGTCTTATTTTAAGAAAATCAGTCCTTTTTCTACTTTTTCCTAGTCCAAGATTTAATTTTTAATGTTTGTTTGGCTTATTTTTGCAGAATATTTTAGTATTATTTAAGGGCATTTATGGACCTTTCTGTAATGGCTTCCAGGTTTTCTGTTGTACTTAGAAAGATTCTTTACCACAGCATGATTATTTTAAACAATTCTCCAATATTTCTTTCCTTAGTATTTTAATTTTTCAAGTTTGAATCTCTGATTCATCTGCAGCTTATTTTAACGCAGAGTTCAGTTATGATCCATTTCAGTTTGTTCTAGAAGTTTGCCCAATTGTTCTAACATGGTGTGTTGAAAAATGAGGATAGCTCTTTTTTGTAGTGCATTCAGTTTGACTATTTTTCATTGCTAACTTCTAATTACACATTAGTTTCTAATATCACTGTTAAATTCTAAAGGAGAATATGGACTGGTACTATTTCTGTTGTTTGGAAATCTTGTATTAAGATTTTCTTTGTGGACAACTTTTGTGACTACTTGGTATGTGTTTGAAAGGACAAGTATTTGCTACTGGGAGGAAATTCTGTTAGAGTTTGTCACTTGTGCCACTTCGATCTTTCAGTTTTCTACTCGATCTACTAGATTTTTTATTTTCAAAGAAAGGCGTGTTGAAGTTTCCTGTTATTTTCAGGGAAGATAGGTTTTCTGAGTTCTCTTAAATTCTTTTTTAAAGTTTAAATTCTTCTAATACTTTATTTTCTTTGAAGAACACAAATGTGGGGGCGCCCGGGTAGCTCATTTGGCTAAGTGACCGATTCTTGATACCAGCTCAGGTCTTGATCTCAGGGTTGTGAGTTCCACATTCGGCTACACACTGGGTGCCGGGCATGGAGCCTACTTAAAAAACAAAACAAAACAAAACAACACAAACAGTGTTGTGTTGCTTCTCTGATTTGGTTTCTTTTCCTGGTTGATGTCCCTGTGGTGTGTCATTTCCTGTTCCTCCTTCACTCACTCTCTTACACTAACCTTAAACCCAAGAACAAACTGATATATTTTAACAGTAGTTTCATTTACACAGAGAATACCTGCATACATCCTTCTTACCATATTACAGGGAAAGGGCAACTCTCTTTCCTCACTCCTTTACCCCCTGGTTCTAGTTTTCTCCTTTATTCCCCGGAAGAAACTTTTGAATTTGGTATGTCTCTTCCCAGAACCTTGTTACCTTTTTATTTTCTGCTTTTGCATATATCTGCAACCACTGAAAATCTCGTATTGCTTTGAGTAATTTTTAAAAATAAACATATTTTTTAAAAATATTGTAATGACTTTTTCTATTTTTTTTTTACTGTCATAATAACACGTCTTGGATAGCTATCATTTTTATTTCAGAAGATGGAGTGGATTTTCTTAACTGCTGCACAATATTCTGTAGTACGACTATACCTTAGTTTAATCAGCCATTTCTATATTGACGGACATCTGGGATGTTTCCAGTTGTTCAGGGTTGCACATTGTGTGGTGACAATCCATGCGCATAGTCTGTTTAGTACATGTGTGTTTCTATGGAATGTGATTTAAGGAACGAACCTGCTAGTTTGCCCCCTTTGATGTCCACTAGGTTTTGCTTGCTACATTTTGAACATATGCCGTTAGGTGATAGCCACATATTTAAGATTTCTTTTCTAAATAAAAGTATTTTCATGATAACTGGTTGCTTTTGTGAAAGATGTAGGCTCTACAGCCTTTGAGAACCCCATACAAAGTGTATCTTTCAAGATATTTCCTTCTAGTTTCCTGAAGCAAGAAAACTTGTCTAAACAATGATGTATGCTCTAGATTAAAAGGGAAAAAAAAGGTTTTGTTCCATAATTCGGCTTCTAAGAGGGAAATAATCAGAGATATGCACAGGATATGTGAAAAAGCTTCTCAATATTATATTATTTTTAAGAGTAAAGGAATTAAAAATCCCTTAAAATAAATTTTGCTACATTTGCATGCTGGAGATCAAGAAATATTAAAAATGTGCCAAAGAAGAATATTTAATGGTAGGGGTAAATGTTTGTTCTAAATATTAAGTGGGGAAAAAATAGGTGTACACACCTGGATATGCGGCCTGATTCTAATTTTTATATGAATGCATCTTTGCATGCACATGCATGTGTGTGTGTGGTGTATGATAATGATAACTGAGACCATGTTATAATTTACTGTATTTTCAATTTTCATACACACACAAAAAAAACACTGCTTCTATAATCAGAGTGGGCAAGGGAGAGGGAAGGTGTTTTTTTGTTTGTCTTTTTTAAAGGTTTTATTTATTTATTCATGAGAGACACAGAGGCAGAGAGAAACAAAGGCAGAGGGAAAAGCAGGCTCTCTGTGGGTAGCCCAATGCAGGACTCCATCCCAGGACCCCCAGATCTTGTCCTGAGCTACAGGCAGATGCTCAACCACTGAGTCACCCAGGTGCCCAGGAAGGTGTTCTAAAAGGAAAAACTACAAATTTCAAAGTCTTTCAGGGTACTTTTTGAAAATATTAAAATTTAACCTTTATGTGCAAATCAAAAATTTATTTATTTATTTATTTATTTATTTATTTATTTATTTATTTGCTTATTTATTTATTTGTTTAGAGAGATTCTATCTCTCTAACAAATGTGTGCAGGGGAGGGTCGGGGTGGGGAGGGACAGAGGGAGAGGGAGAGAGAATCTTAAGCAGGCTCCACTTACAGCACGGAGTTTGACGCAGGGCTCAGTCTTGTGACCCTGAGATCATCACCTCGGCTGAAATCAAGAGTCAAGCTCTTAACTGACTGAGCCAACTGTGTGCCCCTCAAATATTTCTATTTTAACATTGGATATAGAAAATACATAAGTCCTGGTTCACTTGATCATTACCTCAAGTAATAAAATCAGGATTTGTGTTTTCATCCAAAAAATGTTAGCCAGTGCAGGGAACTGCCTCTAGAGGCAGGTGATCCTGAGGCCTTTGGGGTATAGCACTGTGGCGTGTCTTCTCAGCACCATTGTTTCAGTCAGATCCCATTCTTTCTCTGGCCTCTAGTCCCCTTGGCCTATCCTCCACACATATTTTTAAATTTTAATTTAAATTTTTTAAAAAATATTTTACTTATTCATTTGAGAGAGAGAAAGCAGAGAGAGGGAGAGAGAGCGAGCACGTGTGCGGTGGGGAGGAGCTGAGGGAGAGGGAGAAACAGGCTCCATGCTGGGCAGGAAGCCTGATGTGGGGTTCTACCCCAGACCCTGAGGTCATGACCTGAGCGACAGGCAGATGCTCAACTGACTGAGTCACTCAGGCATCCACTTTTTTTTTTTTTAAAGGGGTTTATGTATTTATTTGAGAGAGCCAGGTCACACAAGAGAGAGCATGAGTGGGGGAAGGGGCAGAAGGAACTGGAGAAGCAGGCTTCCTGCTGAGCAGAGAGACAGACCAGGACCCCAGGATCATGACATGAGTGGAAGGCAGATGCTTAACCCACTGAGCCACCAGGTGCCCCTATCCTCCACACTTTTCATGTTAATCCCAAACTGGGTGACATTACAGTCCTTTCTGAGTTCCCCATCACCTCTAGGATAAAGCCTGAGCCTTTGTCCTACAGCATGAGGCCCTTTGTAATGGTTCCTGGCCACAGCTTCATCCCTATTGCCACCACTTACCCTCCCAGACACTCATGGTTACTTTGTTGGGCAAATTGTGCCTGCCTGAGTTGACTTGAACATTCTCGCCTCCATCTTCCACATACATTTTTTCCCACTTCCTTCCCAAAGGTGCCTGCCATCCAGGAGGCCCTTCCCCCTGGCTATATTCCTACTGTGCCCTGGTTAACTCTCAAACCATTGGCTAATTTGTATATCTACCTTCCAAAATAGTGAGCTACTTGAGAGCAGAGACCTGTCCTATTTGTTTTGTTTTTTGTTTTGTTTCTTCCCTGTGTCCTCAGTAAGACATCTGGTGTGTAGTAGAGATAACAGCACTTGATGAAGGAATAGACCAGTAAATGGTACTTCTCTTCCTCGTCTGAACATAATATTGTGTTTTGACCTAGGTTAACAACTACCTCGTCCTGATACTTGACCAACATGGATTTCAGCAAATGTCTCTACAATATTGGGGAACAGCTGGACAGTGATGAACTGGCCTCCCTCAAATTCCTGAGCTTGGACTACATCCCACAGAAGAAGCAGGAGCCCATCAAGGATCCCTTGATGTTATTCCAGAGACTCCAGGAAAAGAGAATGTTGGAGGAAAGCAACCTGTTCTTTTTGAAGGAGCTGCTTTTCCGAATTAATAGACTGGATCTGCTGATGACCTACCTGGACACCAGCAAGGAAGACATGCAGCAGGAGCTTCAGATACCAGGCAGAGCCCAGATCTCTGCCTACAGGTGGGGAGGACCTCCACGGTTCAGGCACTGGGAGGCGTGGGTGCAGCAGACGGGTGTCTGTGGGCAGGGCTGCTTGTGGCTGTCTGTGTGGTATGACTTTGGAAGTTCCTTGAAGATGTCCCACCAGGGCCAGATAGAGAAATTTAGAGACCTTGTATATAATTCAGTAAAAAAGTGAAGTCAGAAAATTAAAAAAAAAAAAGTGTTTCCAAAGTGCAACGTTACCTGTAGGTGTGCTAAAATTAGAACAGTTGTCTGCTGGATGTTGTCTCTGTCTACCCTTCTGTTGCCTCTGCTCGGTTGATGTCTACATCGCGCACTTACTTTGCTTATTTCTGGATGAAGCATAGCCCCTGCTTACCTGAAATCCCCCTCCACCTGCTTGTGGATGAGTATGGAAACACTCAGTGGGGTTTTAGGCTTTTATTTCACACTGAAAAACTTGCATCACAGTGTCCTCCAGAGAGAGGGATGTGCGGCCAGTATCCTGGACCAGCCAGGCTGGACCCCACAAGGACTGCCGAGCCCCTGGGGGCCCAGCTGCTGCCAGGAGAACGGTGGTAACTTCAGTCATCTGTCCTGCCCAACACCTTGCAGCTGGGTCTCTCCCTGCCTGTGGGATAGCGGGTACCCAGGGGTGATAACAAGCCATGTTCTGTTACGTTTTTATGAATTGGTAACAGATTTCTTTGTGTGTGTGTGTGTGTGTGTGTGTGTGCGCGCGCAAAAAGGTGATTTTATTAAAATATGGGCAGAAGGGGCTGCATGGGGTGAGTGATCATATATATAGGCAATAGGCTTTAAAAACAGAAACACATTACCAACTTCTGTCTTTCAACATGCCCTGTTATCAGATACTCCCTAAAGTTATTTTTAGCTTCCCTTCTGAAAACTTCTACTCAAGCCTTAGCTGTGGCCCATTTCACCCGTCTCTTCTTTCTTGTCAATAATGATGGCATGTGTGTGACAGTAAGTCCTCACAGCCAGGGCTGAAAGCCGCTATCCTCTACTTTCGTGGCCTATTTTTTTAAAAAGATTTTATTTATTTTTTCATGAGACACACACAGAGAGAGAGAGAGAGAGAGAGAGAGGCAGAGACACAGGCAGAGGGAGAAGCAGGCTCCATGCAGGGAGCCCCATGTGGGACTCCATCCTGGGTCTCCAGGATCAGGTCCTGGGCTGAAGGCAGTGCCAAACTGCTGAGCCACCCAGGCTACCCTAGCGTGGCCTATTTGTGAATATAAATGTCTCTACCATGTTAAGCTGCCCAGTTTGTGGGACATTGTTACAGCAGCCTTAGGAAACTCATACACCCAGGACATCTCTTTTGCCGCTTAAAATCAAAATTCTCAAGAAGCTCTAAGTAGAGAAACATATGATAAGGAACATGCCAAATCTTGGGTCTCTGAGACTATGGGCCAGGACATTCACAAATGTTTTTGTGTTGTTATTTTCCTTTACATAATAGTGGAAGGTTTGCTAACTTATTGAACTTTCCTTTGCTCCTTCAACAAATGTATCTCAAGAACTTATCATAGATGAAAAAATAATAATGCCTGTTGTGTATTGAACACTTAGCATGTTGCCAGTTGGCTTCAACACGTCAGATAAACTTGTTCGTATTATTCTTAATATGTCCCAATGGTATATAGTATTATCTACAAGATTACAGATGAGGGAAAAGAGCACATAACACGTCCAAAGTCACACGGCTCTGAGATGATGGAACCAGAGTTCCGAAATCAGTAGTCTAGGCCCTCTGCACTTACACACTTCACCTCGTGACCCCCTGGGCTTATGGAAACAAAAAGGGCACGAACCCTCCTCTCAAGGGGCTCAGAGGGCTTCCAAAGCAGACAATTACAACATGTATGTAAACTTTCTGGGGATACAAGTCACCGTGGGGTGAATGCATTCTCAAGCATACTCGGGCGGGACTCAAGCTTAGTGGGTGACTCTGTGTCTGCGGATGGACAAGGGAATGGGGATGTGAAAGCATAGATAAAGGTGGGGAGAGGACAGCTGGGTGTGTTTGGGGAGTGGAGGGGGACTGGTGGTGAGGAGTCGCTAGAGAAGCTGAGGGGGTAGGCTGGACTCGCTGCACAGAGGTCTGTATTCTAGAACCGAGCATTGAGCCTTCCTGTGGAAGTTGACAGCTAGGAGAGCGCTAACAAGTTTTAATCAAGGAAGTGATGATCCAGTTTGCATGTTGAAAAGCATAATTTCCAAAATAAAACTTTCATTTTTTTTCTACCGCAATAAGTGACTTTATAGTGGAGGACCAAGGAAAAACAAAATTCATCTCACTGAAATTAACTGTGTGGCATAGTCAGTGGAACTGCAAATTCTGTTAAGGGTGGAGCACTGGGGCATGAGTCAGTAGTCTGTTATGTCCCTGCAGCAGCCTCTTTCCAAAGATTCAACTCATAAAGTATGTCATTAGCTGTCTTTAAGGAGTGGTGACCAGAATCAAGTTTCCACTGCAACTCCTTTTGTCAAATGGGAAATTATCTGAGAAGCCATTTCTAAAGTGTCTCCATTTCCCACCACAGGGTCATGCTTTTTCAGATTTCAGAAGATGTAAGCAAATTGGAATTGAAATCCTTTAAGTTTCTCTTGAGCCGGGAGATCTCCAGATGTAAATTGGATGATGATTTGGTAAGCCCTGGTGATGTTTCACCAAGATCTGGTCCTGAGGTTGAGCCAGTCAGTGGGGACTACTGCGACTGGAGAGAGGGCTGGTCCAGTAAAAGCAACCTGGACTCTCACTTTTTAACTAGGGGAAAGGAGAATGTTGTTGGGCAGCAGTGTTGCAGATACAATTCCTTTATATACTGTGAAGTACTGCTCACATTAATTATCAGGAGCAGGGCAGAGTCAGTAGCTCGGAAAGAAGACTGGTGGTGGAAGCATAGCCCAATGTGGGGAAGGACTGTGGTGAGCTGGAGACATCTTCCCACTTCTGCAGTCTCTGAAACCACCTGGGACCTGGAACTCTGTATGTGTGCATGTGCGTGTGCATGCGTGTGCGTGCGTGTGTGTGTGTGTGTGAACGTGGGACTGGAGGTGGATCAGGGACCAGAGGCAGTGTCAGGAGAGATGCAGCTCCCAGGGCTGTCACTATGGGGACCAGGCTACCTTGTTTCAGCCATGCACCTCAAGCTGTTTCACAACTTCACCTAATGGTGTCCATGGCTGATTTCAGCACAGGGCTTGGGGCCTGGTGACACCTGATGTCACTTTTCCTCTACCTTCTCATTTCTGTCTTCTTGGGCCATACAACACAGAATTGCTTCTCTAGTGCTCTACTGGCTTTATAAGACTGGGATATCCTGTCAGGAGGGTTAGTTTGGGAAACTAGAGTGGGCCCTCTGTTTGGAGAAAGTGGAATGAAAGAAAGAAAGAAAGAAAGAAAGAAAGAAAGAAAGAAAGAAAGAAAGAAAGAAGAAAGAAAGAAAGAAAGAAAGAAAGAAAGAAAGAAAGAAAATCTAATCTAAAAACCAGTATGTCTCAATCCAGTCTTCCAACTTCTCTTCCTTCTAGAACTTGCTTGATATTTTCATTGAGATGGAGAAGAGGGTCATTCTAGGGGAAAGAAATTTGGACACCCTGAAAAGAATCTGTGACCAAATCAACAAAAGCCTGCTGAAGAAAATCACAGATTACGAAGAATTAAACAGAGGTAGAAATAACTTGACTACTGTGAATTAGCAAAATGTATTCTTAAATTGACAGATCCCTCTATGTCACAATTATTTCTAATCAAATGTTTCTTTTTTAATTCAGAGCAAACAATGAACCTTCAAAGAAGTCTAGATGAAATTTCAAATGGTAATATGAAATACGTTTTTAAGACTTATTCAGTTAATTTATTATCAGATACCCCCATTGCTTCCTCTCCCCACAACCTTCTATCACGTCCACATCTTAATGGATGTGATACCTACTACCAAGTAGGCGGCTTGGTGCCTACTTGTCACTCTCTACATGTTGAAAGATATACAACTATTGTCAAAAGATGTAGGCCTTCAGCCCCAGGCTGACAAGTTTAAAATAGGTGAAGAGTTAGTAAAACAATTTTTATTCTGTGGACTGCAAGGATATTATGTTCAAGGTAGTCCATGAATTTTCATTTTAAAGGGGACCTTATGGTATCCTTAGTGCTATGTGTTTCTTTACCAAAATACCCTCCCTTCTATGTCTCATTCCAGATATGTCTCAGTTGCCTATAAGGGAGGGATCCGTGAAGATATTGCCAATGTCGGACTCTCTAGGAGAACAGGACTATCAATCAGAGGTGTGTAGAAATTCAGACTCCTTTTTCTCTTTGGATTGCAGATTCTAGTTCTTGTATTCCTTAGCTTTCAAGTTTCCAGATAAACTAGTAAGAGGCAGATGCTTCCGGAAATTTTGAGAACTATAGAAAATTTTCAGAAACAGACAAATTTAAAATGTGATTTTCTTAAGTTTTAAAAGTAACAAGCATTAAAATTTTATTTTAAATCCAAAGAAAAAGGCATTGGAATAGTTGGAGGACTGAGGAATTGAGAAGCCTCCTGGCAACCCTTTCAGCATCTGGCCTGCTGAAGTGGGAGAAGGCTTTGGGAGAAAAGGGTAGTGGGACTGGGAAAAGCAAAGCCTTTTCTTTTAGGGTGACATTTCAAAACTGTTTCTCTGTGCTGATTTAGGGGTAAGCAACAAATACTCATGATCTAGCCGTCTCTATGTTCTCATCTCAATGAGCCGGGGAATCAACTTTCTAGACATAATCATTTGGGTTTATTAACCGTCAAAGATTCACCAACCACATTTTGATTCATTAGCCCTTTTACTTCCTCTCTGTGGCAGGAAGCAGAGGAAAACCTGAATGCTACCAGTCCAGGGGGAGACTTGAAATTAAACTGAGAGAGACCAGTTATGAGTGGGCTCCTGAGCAAATCACCAGACCTACCTAGGCCTGAAAATCGAGGATTGACCAAAGTCACGTCGCACTTTGCAAATAGTAAAGCACTCTACTGAGTGTTCATGTCCCCACTGAACAGCTAACCGTCCTGAGTGCCAGAAAGATTAGGTAATTGCACAAAGTCTTAAGATTATTAAGTAGTAGAACCAGGAATTTGAGCCTTTAGTGTGGAGCCCTTTTCTCTACCTTGAGGAGTTGCATGGGTTTCCCAGTAAATGCTGAGTATCTCAGCATTGAAACAACCCTGGGAAAGTCAGGACACAGGATACTGTAACCTGCAGTTAGGCAAGACCTGCCTGGCTAGTACATCTCTCTCTTTCAGTCCCTGTGGTCCTGAGAGCCAAATTAAGTCACTGACTTTCAAAATCCTCAGACCGTACGATGTCATGTGTGAAGGGCAGGTCCTGGGCTGTTAGCCTAGAAACATAGATGAGTTGACTAGATGGCCAGTGGAAGCGTGAGGTGACAATAGGCAGCCCAGAGACAGCATTAAGACATTCATCCATTCAGCATTTTCCTGATTGAATGCTCACAAATTAATACATTCTAGTTCCTGGCACAGCTGTTAGTTGTCTTGAGCAGAAACAAGAACAAATGGTGAAAATATGTTATGATGACAACAGTGTTAATATATGTGCAAAGTGCTCAAGAGGCCCAAGTACTGGGACACTGATTTTACACACAACTGTGGGGCAGAAATGTGGGGATTCCGTGTCAAAGGAACAGGTGGAAACTAATTCACCAGAGAAATAATGTCAAGTTGGGGTAGGGCCATGGAAAGTGCACTTGTGTCCCTGTTTGGCTAAGAGGACAGCCTCACTTCTTACTAGGGAGTTATTTGTTCACATCCCAAGTGTTTGACTCACAGAGTCAGCTCTTGGGTTGGATTTTTGTTTTCCAGACATCGGACAAAGTTTACCGAATGAAAAGCAAACCTCGAGGATATTGTTTGATCTTCAACAATTATGATTTTAGTGTAGCACGGAGGGAAGTGCCCAAACTTCAGAGCATTAAGGATAGGAATGGAACAGACTTGGATGCAGGTACAGTAGAACCCTGAAAAGAAGTGAAATATTTCTAATATATATTTTTTTAATCAAAAGGTGAGAACAAAAATTGTACCAACAGGGCCTCATGTTTCAGGAAAAAAATGAATGTAATCATATTTCCTTGTGGAAATGAAGAACATTTTTATATATTTTCTGCTTTTGTTTTATTAACTACTTTTTAAACCAAAGTAATGTATATAAGACAAAATATCAAGTCTTATTAAAAGGCTTATAATAAAAAGCAGCAACAATAAGCTTTGCTTTTAATTCAACTTAATGAATAGTGCTTCTGTAGAATGTATTAAGTATTAGGAGAAAACATTGCCTTGGGACCAAGACCACATATAGAAGTTGCATTTACAAAGTTGGATAGATGAAATTGCGAATCTTTAATAGAAATAGCATTTCCAAATATTAAACTAGCCAGATAATTCTTTTGCTCAGCCTATTTAGGAGGAACAACTTATAAGAGAACTTTTAAGAACTTACAAGTTAAATGAAAACTTATGAGAACATAAATTAAATGAGAAAAGAATTTGCAACAGGTGAACATGGAAATGGCTACTACTAAAAGTAATAAATAGAAATAATCCAACCCAACAAATGGATTTTTGAAAATGGTGTTTATGGGTCATAACATTAAGAAATGATTTATTTTTTAACTGAATAAAATTTAGAAAATTAGTGTAGGTTGATTTTAATCACCAAGACTCCGCTAATGGTCTCTGTTAACAGTTTATTCAAGCAAATTTATTCTAAGATTTCCAAAGCCACAGAGCTTAAGTCCATTTACTATGTCAGTCCTTATTATACACCTTGGTATTGAAGAAAAGATTTCAGACCTTTGATTTCCATTCATTTACTATTAAAACAATTTTTTTGAGAGAGACAGAGAGAAAGAGAGAGAGGCATGCAAGCTGTGTGTGTGTGTGTGTGTGTGAGGTGTCAAAGGGAGAGGGACAGAGAGAATCTTGAGCAGACTCCACATCCAGTGTGGAAACCAATGCAGGGCTCCATGTCATGACTCTGGGATCATGACCTGAACTGAAATCAAGAGTTGGACACTTAACCGACTGAGCCACCCAAGCTTCTCACTATCAAAAACATTCTTATTAAAATAATATTTGATTGCATTTCTGGCCTTTTGGTCAAAGGGTAGGTACAGAGTTGCAGAAAAATCTAGACATCTAATGTGCAACATTATTATAGTTAATAATACTGTATTGAATACTAGAAATATGCTAAGTGTTCTCATCAACATACACACATACACACACACACACAAAAGGCAATTAAGTATGTGAGGAGATGTTATTAGCTTGACTGTGGTAATCACTTCACTGTGTATATACAATTTTTAGGTAAAGAAATGAGTCAGGCACCTTGAAAATGTTGAAAGACTTTGACTAGAACTTAGAGAACTTGGGCAAAAATAAGCTTATGCATATAGAAAACAAACCAATGAAAAAATACAGCAATTACTAATTCCAGGAAAGATAAAAAGTTTAATAAGGAAGGAAACATAATTAAAGAATATTGTGTTTACATAGTACTATTGATTCAACTAAAATTTGTGAACAATATAAGAGCATCAAATGCTCATCCTCCATAATAGAAACTCAGTACAAGTCTAAAATTTCACATGATGAGATGAGCACTGGGCGTTATATTATATTTTGGCAAATTGAATTTAAATAAAATTAAATCTGAAACACATGGGTGGCTCAGTGGTTGAGCGTCTATCTTTGGCTGAAGTCATGATCCTGAAATCCTGAGATGAAGTCCCATAATATGGGACTTCTCCCTCTGCCTATGTCTCTGCCTCTGTGTGTGTGTGTCTCATGATTAAATAAAATCTTTTAAAAAATTAAATCCTCTATGAAAAAAAGTCTAAAATGTATAAATAAATACCTGATTTTTCAAACATTCATATCTTGTATTTTTTTATTTAAAGATTTATTTATTTGAGAGAGGGAGAGAGCACGAGTGAGGGGAAGAGCAGAGGGAGAAAGACAAGCAGACTCCATGCTAAGCAGGGAGCCTGATCTCAGGACCCTGAGATCATGACCTGAGCTGAAATCAAGTCAGATTCTCAACCAAGTGAGCCACCCAGGTGCCCCGCATATCTTGTATTTTGATAAACAATTTTGAGAGAGTTCAAGATAAAATAAGTATGAATCTTCTATTATTTTTTTTGTTTTTTGTTCTGATTATGTAAGTAATACAATCATTATTTAGATTGGTTTGGTAGTAAGCCTAAACAATAGCTTACCCATCTTATATAGACTAGTCAAAAAAAGACAGAAAGCCAACAATAGCACTCTCTCCCCTTTATTATTTGCCTCAGGACTGGAAATGTTTTCAACTGGGGACAGTAAGTATCAGAAAACTATGGAATTCAGCCAGGAATATAAAGGGTCTTATTCTTCAGTTCTGGTTCAAATTCTTAATCTGAAAATTGCTCTCTCTAGCCCCGGACTATGGTTTGGGATTTACTTTGGTGTGATAAGACTTTTCTTATTTCATTTTTCAGATGCATTGAGTAAGACCTTTAGTGAGCTTCATTTTGAGATAGTGCATTTCAAAGATGCTACAGCAAAGAAAATCTGTGAAGTTCTGCAATCCTACCAAAGCATGGACCACAGTAGCAAGGATTGCTTCATCTGCTGCATCCTCTCCCATGGAGACAAGGGCATCATCTATGGCTCTGATGGGCAGGAAGCCCCTATCTATGAGCTGACCTCTTACTTCACTGGTTCAAAGTGCCCTTCCCTTGCAGGCAAGCCCAAAATCTTTTTTATTCAGGCTTGTCAAGGTGATAAATACCAGAAAGGAATAGCTGTTGAGACTGACTCTGAACAGAAGGAAACCTATTTAGAAATGGACTCATCATATCAGAAGAGATATATCCCAGAGGATGCTGACTTTCTGCTGGGGATGGCCACTGTGAACAACTGTGTTTCCTACCGAAACCCCATGGAGGGGACATGGTATATACAATCACTTTGCCAGAGCCTAAGAGAAAGATGTCCTAGGTAATTTTTGGCTACTCTGCCCTTTACTCATTTAAAATTTCTAGTTATGGATTACATAGTTGTGCTTCCCAGGTCAGTTGCAAAGTGGGAGAGGGGGTAAGTGCTCACATCTTTAGTTCATAGATGGAAAAAAACTGAGATACTTACTGCAGAGTTTCTTTTATTTAGTGCCTGAAAGGACAGTCAGAGTGTCACAAAACAGGGAATGATGTAAAATCAGTGCAGCTCTGTTCTTAGGCAGAAACATAACTGAGCCAACACAACTAGTTTTGGAAGTCTCCCAAGAAGGTAATAATCCATTTCAATGTTTAACATCCTCCAACTCTGTTAAAGTTCTATAATAGCTAACTGACCCTCTTGGTGTGTTGTGAGAGAAAAGTACCAAAGAATAGTAATTCTTTATATTCCCACTAATTTGGTCTGATGTGAAACCACAAAATGTGGGAAAACATCCTTCATTTATTATACTGTATGTTTCCTTTAGCTAAAGGATGATTTTGTAGTCACAGTTCACCCAAGCGCACACCTGACAGATGAATAGCGAGAAGTCTTCTAGCTCTATATCTCATCATGCTTTAAGCGTATGAAGAGTAAGAATTTCCCATGGCAGATAAAGGAATGAGTCATAACATCAACATCATGTCTTTCTCTTGTAAGTTAAACCACCAATCCTACAGAGGTGGATGAACAGGTTGCCCAGCTCACCTGATAAAGATAGGCTGGGGAGAAAGGGGGGAGTAGCTGCAGGAGACATTGGATTTTTCCTTGCTCAAAGAGATCATAGATGATCACAGAGGATATTTAGGGACATTGAGGCGATTATGGGGGCAAATGACATAGTAGGAGGAAGAGTAAGGTACAAACAAGCCGGGGGGAAAGAACCCAAATGTGATCCTGACCCTGAGGTTTCTGATGTTCGATAGAGATGTTGAGTAAACCAAAGATAAGTTTTTAAGCTCTAAAGCTACTCCTTTGCTGAAAAGCTTTGACACGTCTTAGTTTAGCAACTTATGATTTCAAATGCCTGATGTTTTGAGGGAAGGAACAGTAACTAAGTACAGTGAATGAAAGGGTTTGCCAGTATTGTTCCCCAACAGATGGTCACGGTATTGTTGTTTTTTCAGGGGTGAAGATATTCTCACCATCCTTACCGAGGTGAACTTTGAAGTGAGCAATAAAGATGACAGGAAAAACATGGGAAAACAAATGCCACAACCAACGTTCACACTGAGAAAAAAACTCTTCTTCCCTCCTAATTGATGTTATTGTTCAGTTGCATAACACTATGCATAATTTATTTGTTTGTAAAATGCTGCTTTTTTTTTCTCTTTTTTTTTTTTGGATGGCAGGAAGGAGAGAGGATGAGAATCTGGACAACCTAATTCCTAGGCAAATTTAAGCCTAAATCTCTGGCTTTGCAGTAATAGCTAGAGATTTATAACCATAGGTATGATTTTAATTTTGATTCAATGAAGACGTTTTTTAAACAACTCAGAGTAGGTAAAAAAGGGTTAAAGGTGTCATTCCAAAGCTTTAACCTGGAACACAGAATTAATGGCAGTGCAGAGATTTTATAAGGCATAAGAAGAGGGAGAATGGAGAAAGCAATTTCCCAATTGAGGCCTCAGAATAAGTGAATGCTGTTCAAGTACTGGGAGACAAAGTCAAGAAAACCATAATCTTCCCCCTTTCTGTGAAAGGGCTGATTCTTCATTCCGGGTTCCTATGAGAATTTGTCAGATTTACACTTGCACTAATTGGATGTAATTCTATGGAGTAGAATGTGAGGTACAATTGTTAAAGGGTATTTTTGGGACTTTTTTTTTTTTTTTAAAGTAAACTCTATCCCTCTCATCCCCCCAACCCCCAATCCCATGACATGGGGCTAGAACTCACAACCCCAAGGTCAAGAGTCACACACTCTACCAAATGAGCCAGCCAGGCACTCCTAAAAGGTATTGTTTAAAAGGAGACAGCAAGGGCACCTCGGTGGCTCAGTGATTGAGCGTCTGCCTTTGGCTCAGGTTGTGATTTTGGGGTCCTGGGATCAAGTCCCACATCGGGATCCCTGAAGGAAGCCTGCTTCTCTCTTTGCCTATGTCTCTGCTTCTCTCTGTGTGTCTCTTATGAATAAAGAAATAAAATTTTAAAATAAAACAGAGAGAGACAGCAGGCCCCAAATGGAGTCACTTGTGTAAATAAACCCCATGTCAGCAAACCAAGACTTAAATCCTAACTGAAATGAAGTTTCAGTTCCCCAGGAAGTAATCTTTAAGCAGTCAGCATGGAATTACTTACCTGGTCAGCACTGGTGAAATAATCCACTGGACAAATTCTTTCCATTCCCCTTAGGAAAGTGACGTAATGCAATTTGATCCTATTTGGTCTTTAAATTTACTCAGTTGAATTTTTATGCTTTGACTGTATGCTGGGGGATGCCAGTGACCCCCTCTCAAAGGACACTAAAGGAGATTTTTGTTATCTGACCTAGCTAAAAAAACCCTCATGTGTAATGCTCCCACATCCAACCTGATGTCTTCTGACTTGTGTGACCTGCCATCCCAGAAACACATGAGCCTCCTCTCCTGAGCTATGAGGAAACCCTGCTTCAGTGGCAAAAGGCACCATAACTCTGTTTAGATTTAGATTTCACAAAATCTAGGAATTATTTTCCTTGTTCTTATTATTTATAAGTACCATTAAATCCACTTTTGAGGGGGACGAGGGTGGTTCGGTTTAGCATCTGCCTCTGGGCTCAGGTCATGATCCTGGGGTCCTGGGATTGAGTCCCACATAGGGCTCCCCACAGGGAGCCTGCTTCTCCCTTTGCCTATGTCTCTGCCTCTCTCTGTGTGTCTCATGAATAAATAAATAAAATCTTAAAGAAAAATCCACTTTTGAAAGGACTGATGTTAAGAGCACATTAACTTTATGTTTTTGTACTTCCAGTCCCTCTCTTTCCAAGCCACCCTCTACACTAATTTAAAGGTTTTTTAAAATATAAATTTGTTATGTTTTGTTAGGCTGTTTCTAACATATATACATGTTAGAATATATATCATGCTTCTGTATCACTTGATACTGACTTGCTTTTTTGCTGATGGTATTATGTTACATTAATGTATTTGCATTAGCTCTTTCTTTATGCCTTAATTTTATACAAAGTTGCCTTTTTTAAAAGAAATTTTTATTAATTTTTTCAATAATATTTTTAACAATAAAATAGAATTTTAACTTACTGGTGGTTGGAGATTGTTTTGTTTGTTTGTTTTGGCTTTGTTTTTTGCCATTGGCATCTCACAGGTGGAAAACATTTGGATCACAGATAGGTTTCATTTTAGCCTCCCAATGTTGGCTCACACAGTTGTATTTTTTAAAAAAACTGTTGCCCGTATTTAAAAATTGGGACATGTCACTTAAAAACCGCAATACTTTCTTTTGAAAAATCAGAACATCCAATCAGAATATCTGATCCTATGCTCTTGTGTGCAACAATGGAATGGGTTCACCCAGTCCCCCATACCACCCTGCTCAATCCCCTATATTAAGGCTGCTGCCAACGGCCATTTATCACTGTGCGTGTTTGTGCGATTGTTTTTCCTCATGTCCAGTCCACTTCACTAATTTGCATTGCTTGCCCTGTGGGCATTTGAATTCTGGTGATTATTTAGAGAAGGTGGCAAGAATTATCAGACACTTTCCCCAAATCATAGCATAAGGAATATGACTGAGAAGTAGAGCAGTGGGGACACATGTAAAAGAAAAGGTTTTTGGAATTGAATTAATAAATTATCATCTTGCTAGCTCAATGTCCCAGGGGCACAAAAGTTAAACTTCAAAATATAGTCAACATTTAACAGGGAGAAGCTCCTTAGATCAGTGTTTTCATAATGAAATACACAAACGTGGAAGAGAAAATGGTACAATGGCACAGAAAAAACTCAGATCCAGATATAGAGAACATCGCCTTTCAATGAAGTCTTGAAACTCTGTATAATTGAGATGAGAATTCAAACATTCCCAACCACTTAGAAGAAAGCAAATTGTGAAAAGACAAAAGTAGAACCAAGGCAACCCGGGAACTAAACCCATAATACACATTTATCAAGAAAACCTCACAAGAATTCTCTAAGCCTACAGAGATGGTGTTCCTACCATCTTTTACCCTGGCTAACAATTTTTCTGCTCATAATTCTTATTTTTCATTGCTATAATCTTCTAAAGTATTAGAATAATCCTCATAACTAAAGGTTGACTTCCCAGATCGTTCTTCATAAATTTCTTCATTTTTGGCAACTATTTTCTGCCTATAAAAAAAAGAGAGAAGATATATCATTATAGACTCAAAGGGGAGAAGGGGATGTAAGATATCTGGGGGGGGGAGAGAAATATGATTTTCATTCCTTCACTGGGGGCAGTTGGACACATTACTTGCCGTGGTTTTGAATTTAGTGAGATATGATATTTATTTATCAAAATCCCAGATGAGGAATATTTTGTTTAGGAGAAACAAAGTATGCCATCCCAAAATATATCACCTTGCAGATTGATTAGTTTGAATTAAAGTTATTTTAGCAATAGCCAGTACAAGAAAGATACTCCGACCCTCCTTTGTCCCCCTGAAAGCCGGAAATAAAAGTACCGTCCCTATAGCAGGAGGTAAAGAGACATCCTTATCACCAGAAATAGGGAACTTAGGACTAAGAAGGCTGTATAAACAAACCTTGTTACTTCCTCATTAATTTACTACCCCAAGCCCAAACTTCCTTGTCTTGTCAATTCTTTACAGATTTATTGACTCTTGTCCAAAGGTTATGAAAGCAGCCTGCTTTGGTCACTTCTTTGAGTTTCATATTTTTATGAGCTCCTGTACATACAAAATTAAATTTGTTTTTCTCCTGTTAATCTGTCTCATGTCAGTTTAACTATTAGATTAGTCAAAAAACTTACAAGGGAAGAAAGGAAAACTTTACTCTCTTATACTACCAAATTAATGCAATGAATAGCTTCCCTTTATTAAAATTTTGACCAAAATTTATCTCAATGATTTAAAATTCATCTTCAGTATAATTTCTGACCTAAAGTTGATTTCCACAGGAACTAAATGCAGCTGTATCTAAGAGTAAACTACGGACATCTACACCCCTAAACTCTCAGGGTACATGGTAAAAACTCAGAGCTCACATGGGTTGTCACAACAGTTTCCAATCATTCATTCATTAAACAAGTATTTATTAAATATGTACTACAGATTCCAACAATATGACATTTTGGAAAAGGCAAGACTACAGTAATGGTGAAAAGATCAGTAATTTACAGGAGATGGGAAGGGAAACAAAGAATGAGTAGGTTGGAGGGCAGAGGACTTTAGGGATTTAAAATGCATTGACAGAACTGAATAAACCCAGAGACCCTTAGATAAATTTCACGTGCTGTTTTGCACTAAAGTTAAGAGTAAGTAAGGGAGAGGAGTTGAGACGCATTCCCAGCTCCACTTCAGAGGGACTGTCTGACCTTAGCATGTGACTTCTGTGGCCAGGCTCTGAGTGAATATTTCCCTCCTGGAAGTAGCTGTGCCTTGACTTTATTAGGGAATACCTCGGTTCATCTTCATCTATTTTTCACCCAAACTCCCTCCCACTTTCTAAAGATAACTCAGCCATGTCTTTTTCAACAGTGTCATTCATACCTTAGATGAATGTTTTCTTCTGTCAGAAGCTGTATGGTATATTTAAACTTTTCTTCAACTTCAGAAATCTTGATCTGGAGCATTTTCTCCAGATTTCCCATTGTAGCTTTCTGAAAGACATATACATTTTAATAGCTATCCTTCCCGAATCAGAGTCATCTGGAGCAGAGCTATATGGTAGAGCTGTACAAAAACCTGGATTCCTCTGCACAACCCCCATCCCCTCTCCAGCTGGGACTTGCCTCTCTCTGGAGTTCCATCTGGGTTTGGTAGAGGGTCGTGTTAAGTGTTTCTAGGATAACAGCTTGTGTATTCAATTCTTCCTCCATGACCTGTGTAAGAAGAAACTGTTTCAGGACAACATGACAATGTCTACATGGCACCTGGACTAGAAGGTGAAGCATCAACTTTAGCTACTCCTTCTCTTACACTGTTCAGTCACTTCACCCTGTTAAGTCTATCTCCTCTGTGTCTTGCCCATCAATACTCCTCTCTTCAAACTCACTATTACTGTCTCAAAGCCAGCCCTCATTAGAGCTCTCATGGGTTGTCATGACAGCTATCAATCATTCATTCATTAAATCAAATATTTATTAATGGAAAGGCAAAACATAGAGACAGTAAAAAGATGAGTGATTGCCAGGGTATGCAAGGGATAAATAGGTGGAGGACAGAGGACTTTTAAGTGAGGAAACTACTCTGTATGATATGGTATTTGGCATGATGGATTTGATGCACTTGACAAAATCCATAGAATTGAATACACAGAGAGTGAACCCTAATGTAATCTATGGACTTTAGTTAAAAGGAATGTATTAATAATGGTTCATCAACTGTAACAAAAGTACCATACTAATGCAAGATGTTAATAATAGAGAAAATTGGGGACACCTGGGTGGCTCAGTCAGTTAAGCGTCTGCCTACAGCTCAGTTCATGATCTCAGGGTCCTGGGATCAAGCCCTGCATTGGGCTCTCTGCTCCATGGGGAGTCTGCTTCTCCCTCTCCCTCTGCCTCTAGCTCTGCCTACTTGTGCTGCTCTCTCTCTCTCTTTCTGTCAAGTAAATAAATAAATACTTCTTTAAAAAATAACAGAGAAAATTGTATGTTTGTGTTGGGAGAGAATATAGGGAATCTCTGCACTTTCTGCTTAATTTTTCAGTAAATCAAACATGCTCTAAAAACAGTGTTTTAATTAGGAAAAAAAAACCTTACTGCTGTAGGCACCAGGAATGTTATGATGAACAAGAAAAATAAAATTCCTACTATTAAGGATATACATTCTAGTGAGGGGATATAAAAATTAAATAGAAGTTAGTAAAATAATTACAATAAAAAATTTAAAATAAACCAAGGATAAGATAGAAGATCAGTTTAAGTGCAGGGAAGGGATAAATGTGGGCTCTACATTAGTTAGATGCTGGATAGACTATAAAAATGAACCAGATGAGTCTCTGCTTTCAGGTGTCAGCCCCATTTAACTCTTACATGTCCCCAGAGCTCTTCCCATGGAATAAGCATCCTAAGATTTATAGACTAGAGAGGTACCATCACCTACAGCAATCACATTGTGCAAAGTGCCAAGTGATTTAGCATTCTTTTATTCATTTATTCATTCAAAAAATCAATTGGTATTTACTGAATGTCTGTGATGTGCCAGGCACTATTCTAGAAACTGCAGATTAGTGGTAGAGAAGACGGACAAAAAATCTCTGCCTTTATTAAATTTATCAAGTTAGACAGTTATAAATCTGTATAGAAAAATAAAACAGGGAAAGGAAGTGTTGGAGTGGGTAGTTAAGCCTTTTAAATAGAGTGGCCCTCCCAAGAAGTGGCATCTAAGCAAAGACCAGAAAGAGGTAAGGAACTTAGTCATGTGGCTATCTGGGAAAAAGCTTCCCAGGAAAAAAAGAATGTCAAGTGCAAAGACCTCAAAGTAGAGGATCCTGGCATGTTAAAGAAACAGCAAGGAGTTCAGTGCCACTGGAGCGGCATGATGGAGGGTAAGAAATAGAAGGAGATGAAGTTAGGGGAAAGAACAACCAGCATGAAGCAGGTATAACAATCCCTAGGGTCGACACTGGACTGGGAATAGTTATATTCCCACCAGCCAGCGTACATAGAGTTTTGGGTAGACTACTCAGAAAGGTATTATCTCTATAAGGGGAAAAATTAATTTTGCTTTAATTTTGGCTAAGTTTAAAGGTAAGGCTTGAAAATATCAAACTGTTTCTAAGTAACTTAATTGCATCCCAGAACAAAGTACTAACATATTTAAAGGAATACAAAAATATTCAGCACCCACTAAGGTAAACATATTCACATGTGAATATTCACATGTGAATATGTTTTTCATGTGAAAAATATTCGCAATGGCGGATATCTAATAAAAAATCACCAGGCATGCAAATAAGTGAGAAAATATGACCACAAATGAGCAAAATCAATTAATAGAAACGGATCCAAAAATGAATGATAGAATTAGTAGACAAGCTCAATAAAGCAGTTATTATAATACACTGAGTCTTCTTGTTCCAAAGCCTATCCCTCTACCAAGCAAGACATTGAGGTCTACCCAGCAATGATGAAGTCTTGCCTAAGCTCTAAGATATCATTCCATGATTTTATAATGTCTAGTCTTTTCCCAAACATATCCGTTCTGGATTCAAGTTAAATTCTCTGCGAAAGAAGAACCACAAGGCAGCTCATGGGTTTGAACAGTTTCCCTTCAGGTGTCTCTCACATGGAAGTGCCATAATTTGTCCCGGAAGAACAGAATTCTTTGAAGAAACTGTTGGGGGTGAGGCACCTTAGAATTTTAAGGAGAGGCTTGAAGTTAGAATTCCCAGGGGCAGCACTGTATAATTTTAGAGCTTAAAGGAAGAATTTGATATTTCAGAAATGAATACTCTTTTGTGGTTTAAGCCTTACTAAAAATGGAAGGCATTTGACACTTAAGATCACACAGCAGGGCAGCCCTGGTGGCGCAGCGGTTTAGCGCCACCTGCAGCCCGGGGCGTGATCCTGGGGACCCTGGATCGAGTCCCACATCAGGCTCTCTGTATGATGCCTGCTTCTCCCTCTGCCTGTGTCTCTGCCTCTCTCTCTCTGTCTCTATGAATAAGTAAATAAAATCTTAAAAAAAAAAAGATCACACAGCATTTTACTTATATATTTCTTCAAGTTGCTCTAGAAAGACACTAAGAGTTTTGTTTTACAGATAACTTTATATTATAGTTCTAAGATCCTTTGTGACCTGTTGAATCCAGCAAATTCAGCTTTAGGTCTCCCCTACCCCCACGTTTTTGGTTTTGTTTTGTTTTGGAAAATTATCATAGATTACATTTTATTTTATTTTATTTTCATAGATTACATTTTATTAAGAGCATATAATTTTACTGATGCATTTGTCAATTCCACAGGAAAAATGAAAAAGCTTACCTGTTTGGTCTTTTTCAGCTCCTCTAATTCTATGGTGTCTTTTTCATGTTGTTTCAATAGCTCCTAAAAAATAATTTTATTTGGAAAGGGTCAGGACTGGGGTTTCTGGCACTTCTTTCAGAGAATTAAGAAAGCCAGAATAGTATTCTGGTATAATGAAGCAAACATTATAAACTAATGACATGACATCTTAAAGTTAAATCTTGAAAATCTTGCTTATGTACAACCTTGGTAAGTTTACTATTGTTGAATATTGTTAATATTGTTTAATATTATTGAACATTCTGTTCTCCACAGATTGATCTTTATGTTCACTACAATCTCAGTCAGAATACTTTCTTGACAAACTAATTCTGAAATTTATATAGAAATGTAAGTGATATAGAAGAGCCAAAATAACCTTGAAAAACAAGAGCAAAACTAGATTATTACTCCCTGATCTCAAATTATAGTAATTGAGACAATGGTTGCCTTGGCCTCAGTATGAACATATAGTTCAGTGGAAAAGAATGGAACAACTAGATATTTAAACAGAAAAAAAATGACCTATGTATGACCTTTACCTCATTCCATTCATAAAAATTATTCAAAATGGATAACAGAATAATAAAAACTAAAATTACAAAGCTTTTTAAAAAATATTTTATTTATTTATTCATGAGAGACACAGAGAGACAGAGAGGCAGAGACACAGGCAGAGGGAGAAGCAGGTTCCACGCAGAGAGCCTGATGTGGGACTCGATCCAGGGACTCCAGGATCACGCCCTGGGCCAAAGGCAGGCGCTAAACTGCCAAGCCACCCAGGGATCCCAAAGCTTTTTAAAACATAGAATATCTTTGTATCCTTGGACTAGGCAACAATTTCATAGAAAGGACACAAAAAGCTGTAACTTTTTTATGAAAATGAAAAAATTAATAATTTGGCTTTCAACAAAATAAAAAACTTCTGCACATCAAAAGATAATATGAGCAAAATGGAAAAAGCAAACCATAGGTGAGGAGACAGTGTCTTTAACACATGTATCTGACAAGGAACTTGTACCCACATTATATAAAGTATTCCTACATATCAATGATAAAAAGATCAACAAATGGCAAAAGACTTGAACCAGCATTTTACAAAAGAAGACATATAAGATGTCTGATAAGCGTATGAAAAAATCATCCAACATAGTCACCAGGGAAATCAAAACTGTAATGAAATATCACTTCACACCCATTGGAAGGGTCAAATTTAAAAGGATGGCAATACTAGTTGTTGACAGTGTCCAGCAACTGGAATTCTTGTATATTTAAAATACAAGAGTGAAATGGTATAACTACTATGGAAATTGGCTTTTCTTATAAAGTTGAACCTATTAATACCCTAGAAACCAGTAATAGCTCTGCTAGGTATATACCCAAAGGAAATGAAAAATTGTGTCTACAGAAATACTTGTTCAAGTGTGTTTACAAAAGCTTTATAAAATAGGAAGGACAACAAATGGAAACAACTCAAACCTCCAAAAACAGGAAAATGGTAAACATACTGCGTGATATTCCTACAAAGGAATATTATTAGGCAATAAAAGTAAGAAATCACTGAGATAAACAACAAATGGATAAATTTCACAGATGTTGTATTGAGGAAAAAGAATCTATATATGAAAGAGCATGTACTGCATGATCCATTTATAGAAAGCAAACAGGTATAACCAATCTATGGTGGTGGAGAAACAGTGGTTGTCTTGGGGCAAGTTTTGAAGGAGATAGGGCTTAACTGGAAAGGAATACAAGAGTGATTTGTGGGTTGATAAAACGCTCTAGATCTTTATTTGAATGTTGGTTACATGGATGTGTACATTTGTCAAAACTCATCAAACAGTATACTTAACAATTTATGCATTTTGCTAAGTGTAAACTACGTTTTTATGAGAGAGAGAAGCAGCAGCATTTACAGATTTATAGTCAGTGTTACTGGAGAGAAAATAGGTGACAGGAATGGATGCGTGCAGATGATCAAATCTCTAGATTTGAGGAAATACTTGTTCAAATCTCTAGATTTGAGGAATTACTAGAGGAATTTGCTCCTTCTTATTCAGATGTCTGAGCTCTCCAGACCCCAGAAGCCCCAGACACACTGCGCAGCATGCCCCGTGTTCTCATTACTGTGTTGCTAAGTTGTAGTGAATGCCAGAAATGGGTTTTGATTGGTGAAATTAGTGGCTTTTTAATTAGCACGATAGTTGGAAATGGGCTTTAAAAGTGGAATATTCCAGGTAGATACTATTTGAGAGGCCCAGTCCCCTTTGCAGGAAAAGAGTACAGGAATCGAACAAAACGTGTAGGCTACGCACTCGGGAATGGCGTCTAAGACTTGATCCCTAGATGGTCCCATGTCTGCTGAGGAGGAGCTCTGGCTGCCTGATGCTGACCCCAGTGGTTACAGAATCCTGCCTTAGTCATGCCTTTGCAAATACCTCTGATGAATCTTCCTCGTTCCTAAAAGCTCAGAGAGCTGGTGGTATAACCGCCTGGGGCCTGCTTGCGAAAGCATGTTCACTTAGTAAATGTCCAACAATCTGAGACCCACTTTCACTATAACCTGGTAACAGTATGAAGGTGGTGGGGACCTGATGAACAGCAGTAGCTGCCTCTCCTACCCTCTAACTTTGGGATAGCTCCTCTTATTTACTAAGAACTGTATGTTAGTTTAGTTTGCTACACTGCCATTTCTCTTCAGATCCAGTCAACAATGAGAAGGAACAATCAGAGATGGGGGTTTTAGCAAAATAGGGAATTTCAGGTTCTGTAGGTGTCTAGCACTCTATTATTTCCCATTAATTTAAATTTTCATCCCACAGTAACCCTGTGGTAAGACCGTCTGGATAAGGACAGCAAGACTGCCAGTTTACTTGCATGTATTTCCAGGGAAGCTGGGAAAGAAGGAATACTCACATAGAGGCAAAAAGCTCACCTACTTACAGAGGCACCCCTGGGAACCCAATGTCCCCCCAGGGCTGCACATTCAACCCCTGATGTGCTTTCAGCTAAGTTACCTCTTTCTCTCGATTGAAGTTCTCGAAGACCGCACTGTACGAGTCATTTATTTTCTTCTTTACTTCTATTGACTCTAACTCAAACTTTTTTGTTATATTCTGTTCTGCGGAGGTGAGAAGACATTACCTGTATGAGTAAATGTGGGGAAAGCAGGTGCAGAGAGAAACTCAGAATGTCTGAAGATAATAGAAATTCCAGACTGGGTCAGATATAAGGTGCTTTCAGCTTGGCGTTCGGCATCTGATGTGCACCTGGAGATGCTTGAAAGTCAGGTCAACACAGTGATGGTTTTCAGGGATATCGGCCACATGGGATTCACCCCAGTGTCTCCAATTTTTCTGTGTATGTATAGTTTATCTTAGATCTGTTGCTTATTATTTTGTCCATTCCCGCTGCTGAAGTAACCACTATGCTTTCTTCGATATCCTTACCTTAAAATACAGCTCTTGACTCCTGTAACTTTTCCAGCAATAACATTTTCTGTACTTAGCCCTGGGGTAGAGGGAGGCTTAAACTGTTTCTGGTGTGAGGGAACATGCCAACAGAGGCCCAATACCAAACAGGAGGAAGGAGGGGGTGAGGGACTGATACAGATTTCTTCTGCGGCCTCATGGTGCTGGAGATATGGGTAGGGAGGCAATCCTGAGGTTCACAGGATGGGTCTAGGCTGAGCTACACTATGCATAGCTAAAATTTGTTTTTTCAAAACTGACTGTAACATATTTTTTTAAAAAGATTTTACTTGTTTGTTTGTTTATTTGAGAGAAAGAGAATATGAGAGTGGGGAAGGTCAGAGGGAGAAGCTAGATCCCCACTTGATCCTGGGACTCTGGGATCATGACCTGAGCCAAACTTAGACACCTAACTGACTAAGCCATCCAGGCGCATCCTGAGTGTAACATCTTAATTTAGATTTTGACAACATGGGATGAGTGTAGTATGGGTAGCTAGAAGTCTGGAAGAAGATAGGCTCATACTACACCAGGATCCTAGGTAATGCCTCAAACAGGTACAACTCCTCATTTTGTCCCTCAGCCTTAATGCCAGGGTCTTCCAGCTACCCTGGCAGTCTGAGTCCCCACTGGGGTAGGAATGGCCTTTCCCAGGGAGTTTCTGTATTTACACAAGTAATTTGTTGAAATCAACCAAACCTATTACAAATTAGATTAAGGTAGGATGTGGTATAGGTTTGTAGAGGCCCCACTCCTACCTCAACCAATCCTCTAGGTCAGGGAGCAGAGTCTCCATAAATTCCTCTCTCTTTTCTCCATTTATGAAGATGCTTGGTGGGGGTACAAGGCTCATCTATAAATCACTTTCTAGGATCCAATCTCTGCACTAAGTGTTGGAAATATTAAAAATACATAGCAAAATATAAATGTATCAAATCAACATGTTGTAGCTTTTAAACATATGCAATGCCAACCTCAAAAATTTAGATCTTTTGAGGGGGGGGAATGTGGCAATACAGAGGCTCTCAGTGTAATCGATTGTGTCGTCCCTCCTCCAACAACAAGTGAATATTTGAAACTCTAACTCAAGAACATTTTTCTGGAACTTTGGGGTCACTTCTATCCATGTAACTAGTCAACATTCCTACAGATGTCCCAGAGCTTGCTCCAGCCTGTGATGGCCAAACTTGGAATGAATGAGCTTTGGAAGGTACAGGCTTAGACTCTCAGGTCGCTGAACTTTATAAAGACTCCATTCTTGTTGTCACCTTCTTGAAAATTCCATGTACCTTTGATCAGGAGTTCAGCCATGTGAACATCACCCTTTGTGAATCCAAGGCTGCTTTTCTCAAGTCAAGACCAAACTTAATGGTGGGTTTGTTTTTTTCTTTCTTTTTCTTTTCTTTCTCTTTCTTTCTTTCTTTCTTTCTTTCTTTCTTTCTTTCTTTCTTTCTTTCTTTTTTTTGTGCATGTGCCATCAAAAAGACAGAAGTTTCTGTACTCACTTTGCTGTAGCAGGATCTTTTCCCGCTCCAACTTCTCCTCCTCCTCCCATTTTGCCTTCTTCTTTGACCACTTGTCCTCCATTTCATCATGAATGCTATCCTGCAGAGGCACAAAGGCACCATCAAGAAAAGGGTCCAGAAAAAGGCTGCACACTGACTCCAGGCACAGCACAGGGCCCTTTATAGCTTCCTTCACCCAGAATGCTTGTTAGGAGTCCCTCCATGGGTGGCTGCTGGGACTAAATTCTAGCTCAGCCCACCTATGAGCCTGCAGAACCCTCAAAGTCAAAGCAAGCTCTGCATGGTGTTTGTCCTACTGGAACTGGGTTTTCTTTGAAGACAGGTAGGTTCTCCTGTTGAAGTTTCACATGTCCACTCCCTCTGAGTCATTAATCAGTAACCCATTAAGAAACAAAGGAAATGCCTAGTAGTTAATTTAAACACTTAAGAAAAAAGGTATGTTTTTCAGAGTGTGTCTATTTTTTCTCAGCAAATCTAACTTCCTCTGTGGTTGAGGTTAAATAAGCTTAACCCTATGCTAGTCATGTTGGTTGGCTCAGATTTTCATGGGAGTGGGACCTCAGGAAGAAGAAGGTCTAGGACCTGGATGCTTGCCAGTAAGCAGTAAGGTCTCAGGACTCTGACCCCCTCCCCCCCCCCTTTTTTTTTCAGGCTAGTGGTACAATTCATACTGGGGCCAGGCATTACTCATTGGTAACCATTTGTGGACATTAGATAAAGGTTCTCTCTCATCATTTTCAAGACTGGTGGGCAGCTCAGTTTCCATAGAGGTCAAACTCTCTGGAGAGGTCCGACTAAAGCAAACATAAAGTATACCTAGGAAACTGGGGCAGCTTACCCACTCATCAACTTGATGCTTCTCTTAGGCTTTGCTCTAGGATGTTTTCCCCGACTGTATATCAAGATGCATCTTAAAAAACAAGTTTTAGATAACAACTCAAAAGTGAAACTGTGAATGGTAAATAGAATTGCAGAGGTGGTACACTCATGCTTAACTTCGTTTCCTCCTTTTATATGGTGGTTAACTGTCCATGTTTGTTTGAGACTAAGTAATGTCCTAGGACCCTGCACTTTCAATGCTAAAACCTGGAAAGTCCCCAGCAAACCATGACCTGTTGGTCATGATAGGATGGGGGTTTGCTATCCTAGTCTGTCCCTGTCCACTTTTCACCACCACCACCCCGCTCTCTCATCTTCTTAGGAAGAAATCATGACCTGTGTCCCCAGGGCTCCATCAAATTAGCTGATTTAAATGAATGAGTTATATTCTGAGGTAGTCAGGGCACTCCATGCTCTGCTTGTAAGAGTGCAGTGATAGAGTCTTTTTGGATGGCAATTTGGCCAAGTGTATTAAAGGCCTTTAAAAGATTTATTCCAGGGGCACCTGGGTGGCTCAGTGGTTCAGCATCTGCCTTTGGCTCAGGTTGTGATCCTGGGGTCCTGGGATTAAGTCCCACATCGGGCTCCCTGCAGGGAGCCTGCTTCTCCCTCTGCCTATGTCTCTGCCTCTTTCTCTGTGTCTCTCATGAATAAATAAATAAAATATTTTAAAAATAAAAAATAAATATTTATTCATTTTGACCCAGCACTCTACTAAAGTCAAAGATGTTACAAAGTACACATACTAATAATGGTTGTTTTGGGGTGTTAATAATTCTTTCTCTTTTTTTGTTGTGGTTAGTTTTTGTATGTCCATTTTCTAAAAAAAGAAAATTAGCAGATATTACTTTTGTGATTAAGAACATATTTTTCCATGGGCTTCTTCAGGGTCTGAGAGACTGACTTGTCATGCTTGGAAACCACGACAGTTCACAGTTCACTCTTCTCCTGGAGGCACTTAGTACCACCTAGGTCCCAGGATGCTGAGAATCTCAAGACATTATTTTCTGGGCAAAGAGCTCTAGATTTAGCCTGCTGTCATTAGCCAGGAATGAGCCTTACCTCTCTTACTCTCATAATCCACCAAGGAGCTCTGAATCTCACCTGATACATATGAAACATATTCTTCAGATACTTATATTCCTTTACCATCTCATCTGCACAAAAGGAAAACAACAGGGTCATCATTATTCCTCTGAAATGCAAGTTTTCAAATTCAAGTATGAGCTCTCCTTATACCTTCTCCACCTCAAACTGAGCCTCAAGGTGTTAAAACTATCTTGTACCTAGGAATCACTCTAGAAGCGTATTAGAAACCCAGATGCCAGTCCCACTTCCCACCCTCGACCTTGGCCAAATCTACTGAATTGCGGTGTCAGGGGAGAAGCCCAGTATCTGTGGATAATATGCTTCTCAGGTGATTCTGAGGCATACCAGATGTGAAAAAACTAATCCTGGGGGTAAACCTACATCAGTGGAGGAAAGAGGAGCAAAGCTTTGTAGTATGGATCTGCCTCTCTCTTTTTAAAATAATGTTTCATAGTGCACATTGATTTTGAAAATGATAAATGTTCTCTTTAGGAAATTGGAAAATCAACAAGCTATAAATATCGTCTTTTTAAAATGTAAGGCAAAAGAAAGAGAAGATCATAGGATATCTCCTTCTCCCTGTGGAGATCAGTCTATAACTTCAGAATTCTGAAGGATATACACCTTGCCCATCCCGAGGGGAGCATAAATAATGGGATAAATGACCAACGCAACCCTTATTATAAGGCATACAAATCATAGTGTGTCCATTAGAATATAGTGAAACACCATCATTTTACAAGTGAAGTAACTTGCTGAATTATAATAGTATTGTATTTATAGAATTAAGAATTTATTTTAAAAAGGTGCTTTCACATTCTCATCTCTCTGATGAAGGCAGATACTATTATTGTCCTCAGTTATTAGATGGGATAAGCGAAATTAAGGGACTTGCTCAGATCCTAACCTTTGGTCACAGGCCAGTCTATCTCCTGGGTGTAGGAAGGACATTGGTGACATGGTTTCTCTCTTTACAGTTTCATTCTCAGTCACTACCCTTCCCTGAGCTTTAGGAGGACATCTGGAAAGCCTAGCCAAAGCCCATCCATGGCCATGGTCAGCCTTTTGCCCTTTACCAGGGTCATTCTCCCCAGTTCAGACAGTACCTAGTTTTTCTTGAGCAGCCAGCTTCTCTGCCTTCAACACTGCTTTGTAGTTGTTCTCCAACTGACTGAGCTCTGCTTCGTGAGCCTCTTTGAGCTCCCTGTGAGACCCGGGGAAAAGGCCAAGATCATCAATCAACGAACAGAAGTACAGAGCTGAGCTGTTATACTCAGCCAATCCTACCTCCCCTCTCTCACACAGGAAGCTGTGGGAAGCCTGCACAGCCCTCACCTCCTGACACATTCTCCTAGCATCCACCTAGAAAAAAGGTGAGAAGTTCAGTTTCCACCAACCATTGCTTTGAATGGAGCCAGTGGGGGTCATGGCTCCCTGCTAGCAGCACAGTCTTTGCTTACAGCTGTGTTGGGAAACTGTGGGCTGCATTAGCATCCAGGATAATTTTAGAGCCCAAGGCCTCAATCTCTCTCTTTCTTTTCTTTTTTTTTTTTAATTAATTAATTTGAGGGGAGAGGGGCAGAGAGAGAGGGAGAGGAGAATCTCAGGCGGCTCTTCACTGATCACAGAACCTGGCACAGGGCTCAATCCCACAACCCCAGAAGCTGAAACCAATAGTCAGTCACTTAACCAACTGAGCCACCCAGATACTCGGAACCCAAGGTCTCTTTAACCTCCATTCCAGGAGGCAGAAGCTGGCAGTGCTCAAGACAAGTGTCAAAGTGAAAGCCTATATGAGGTGTCAAGCCAAGAGAAGACACGGAGAAACAGTAAATGCATAACAGTAAGTGAGCAAGTCAATCCATAAAGCCTACATGCTGTACAATTCCAGCTATATGACATTCTGGAAAAAGCACAGCTATGGAGACAGTTAAAAGATCAGTGGTTGCCAGGGGCTAGTGGGGAGGGAGGGATGAATGGGCAATGCACAGAGGATTTTTAGGGCAGGGAAACTATTCTGTGTGATCCAGTAGTGGTGGACACATCATTATACACCTGTCAGAACCCACAGAGTATACAAAACCTTGAGTGAACCCTAATGTAAACTATAGACTTTGGGTGATAGTAATGTATCCCCATAGGCTTATCACTTGAAACAAATGCAGCGCAGTGGTGCAGGATGTTAACGATTACTCAGGTTTCAGGGATGTGGGGTCAGGCTGTATATGGGAATTCCTTGTACTTCATGTTCTATTCTACTATGAACTTCATGTTCTAAAAAAATAATGAAATCTATTACAAAACAAATATGTTACTTTATTATTTTTTGAAAGCAAGTCTATGATTCAACTATGTGGATTTCTCTCCACCAGGACTTCTGAGGCTGCTCTGGTGCCCAGCACATAGGGGCTCACCCCCACAGACGCCACACCTCCTTTTACTTTCTCTTGGCTTGTCTTTGTGGCTCTGGCTCCCGCCCCTCCCATTCTGCCCTTCCCATTCTGCCCAGGTCCTGGGAGTAGCCAAAGCAGGACAAAAAAGAGGAAGAGGAGGAGGAAGAGGCAGAGAAAGATGGGGAGGAAGTAGAGAGGCAGGGGACATGGGAGGAGGAGCCTGGGCTGAAAACAACAGTTGTTTACCACAGAAATCTCATGGAGAACAAAAAATGGCTCTCCTCAGCAATCAACAAAAAGGGAGATTATAACTGAAATGAAGTAATTGGATGAGAAAGTGAAAAACCAGGAACAATCTTCGCTGTGCTACATTTTGGTGGCTTCAAATCAAACCATCTTGCCCATTTCCCCACCTCTGCCCATCCAACTCCATTTGGCACTGTCTGAAATCCCAGTGAACTGAAATCGTGCAAGGAAGTAGCAGGAGTCTTAGGGCCTTCAGCACACGAAAGCTTGTGTCAGAAGCATACCTACCTGTTCTTGTTTTCAAAGTTCTGCTGCATCTCAGCACAGCGGAGAGCCATTTCATTGGAGAGCTGGAAACAAGGCCAGTATTAACAATATAGGATCAAGGGCCTCACTCCCTCTGCAATCTGCAGTTTCTGAGAAGCCTTCCCATTCATGGGGTATGTCCTACTCTTACACCTCTCCTTTTGTGTTCTGCAGTCCCAGAGAGTACATCATACTGAAGGAATGGAACAATCCTTGGCTTGCTCTACATTGTTTGGTATGTAATCAGTTCATAATGTTGCTTCATGGAAACCATCTCTTTCACTAACTGGTTTTCTGGGCAGGTCTGGTCTCTCTGTTGGACAGTAATCTCTGAGCTTGGCCTTTGGATTTCTTCAATACATAATTCAATTGAGTAATCATCTATTCAGCAAAGAGCTTGGCCTGGAAGAGCCAAAGAGGCCTAAGACTCAGACCCTACCTTCAATGAACTTAAAATCCAGTGTTAATAAAACCTCTTTGTCAGAATGGTGTGTTATGGCAGACCAGATGTGCTCATTTCCAGGTGACCTTCCAATTCTAACACATCAGATTCTCTGGTTGGTGTCTCAGGAGGAATGGACATGTCCAGACCAGTCAGCACCTGCTGCCAAGGGTTCAGGGCTCATCCTTGTCCCTCTCTGACTACACAGTGGTAGCCAGCCCTACAGCCTTCCACAGGGTCACACAACAATTTGGGGTCTTCACAGGTGGGAGAATTTTAAGGATCACAAATGAGGTCCCTCTATGGAAATAATCTCTAAATGTGTCTTCAGCAGGGTTGATGCCTCAATGAGTGGAAATGTGCACTTTGCCCAATAACCCACCATTGATGAGCTGACTGATCTTGTATAAATTATTTAACTTCCAGAGCCTTAATTCCCTACCTATAGAAGTAGACCACAAGTCTGGCAGGATTTTCAGATACATATAGTAATGGATCAACAGTAGGGGGGTCTCAGTGTGAGTCACAAGCTGGGTCACTGTAGTAGAATTGAGACACATCTGGGGCATGTCAGAGGGTGGGGCGGACCTGCTGGGAAGTCAACCTTCACATGTGGGTTTCAGTAACAACAGACAAGTGGGGTGTGGGGGAGGCTATTTCCGAGCATTGCTGAGGTTCCTCACTCCAGCCCAGGCCAGCAGGCACCTCTGGTTAAAGTAGGGAAGAAGAGACTGTGATATAACATATGATAAAATCTAAAGGAAATGTCCCCAAATCCCCAGGAAACACAGAGAGTGCAAGCTGAAAACAACAGATTCCAAGGTGGGTTTTGACAATTTTAACAGCAATGGGATGTGGGTACTCAAGGCTTCTGGGAAGCTTTTCGACCAAAGTAGATGCACTGACCACACTGTGGGCACTAGGAAGAGCCTTAGCACCCTCTGAAGTTTAACCAGCCACAGCTAGCCTGAGGGGAAATGGCCAGCACCTCCTGGTGTGGCAAGGTTAGTGGCAATGAACACACTGGAGGCATTTGGGATAGACTTGGAAACTGAGTTAGGCTTTGAGGATAGACTTGAGTCCTTGCAATTATGGATGAAGATGGAGTCAGAGAAATCCTACTGTGTAGCCACAGTCCTATCTTCAGAGCTGTTACCTGGACAACATGGCTCCCATGAGTAAAGTCCTTGGCATCTTGCCAGGAACATAGCAGCTATTATGAAAAAAAAAAAAACTGGTCTTTCTCCTACCCCTAGAGATCAGCTAACTGAAGGATCACTCACCAATTTCTGGGCAGAATGATGGTCTCTGTTCATTTGCTCAATGATCACTGTCAGCTCTGAGATCTGATCTTCTAGGTCAGTAATGATATCAGTCCTAGAGGACAAATAGGACAATAGGACATCTCCCAGAGAGCTTCCATTCTATGCCAGTCAGGCATCTCCCTGTATGTGACCATCTCTGGCCTGGTGAGAGCCAGGCCATGTTCTTCACTTGCTGCATAGCCATGGGGGTGGGCACAGGGATGGAAGGGTAGTCTGGGAGAAGCATTTGGGCAGCAGGGTGATTGAGCCTCAGACCCAGTCCTTTTGGGTAAGCTAGCCTGAGTGGGGTGGGAGAGGTAGTAGGGTGGAGTAGTGGATTGGTTACCTATTGAATAGAAAGGAAAGAGGAGGGCAGCCCAGGTGGCTCAGTGGTTTAGTGCCACCGTCAGCCCAGGGCATGATCCTGCAGACCCGGGATGGAGTCCCATGTCGGGCTCCCTGCTTGGAGCCTGCTTCTCCCTCGGCCTGTGTCTCTGCCTCTCTCTCTCTCTCTCTCTCTCTGTCTCTCATGAATAAATAAATAAAATCTTAAAAAAAAAGAAAGGAAAGAGGAATATTTTCAGAAATTGATGAGGGTTTGATCTTGATTCAGTAATGAATCGGAGGAGGAAGAATTCAGAGGATTAGGACATGGGAAGGTGGGGGATGGTACTGGTGCTGACAGTGAGTCACAGACAAGGAATGGTCCAGACACAGGATGGAGAGGGGATTTCAGAGCATGGCTGGATTTTCTGTGTTTCTGGGTCTGAAGCCTCCATGATGTCTATTTGGTTGAGCTGGAGTAGACAGGGTGGCAGGCAGTACTGTGTACAGTGCAGCCGAGATAAGGTCCTCATTCAAGAGGGTGAGGAAATAAAAGAGAAGATATGAGAGGGAGGGGGAGACATGAGTGAGAAATCTAGGAGGTAGAATGGAAAGGATGTGGGTACTGACTTTCCATGGCATTGGAGGATAGAGTAGGTTGGGCCTGAATGAGAGAGGATGGCACTGCGCTCAACGGGGATGGACTCAGCCAGAGTCTTCCACACTGTGCCCCCCCAAAGTCATGAACTGAGTGTTATTTTTAGGCATAATGAGAAAGAGATGCATCTCAGCACCCCAAGAACCCTGACTTTATTCTTACTTTTCACCCTCCAAATTCAGACTATTTTAAGAATATTTCATCTGTTTATCACCTCTAGGAACAATTGCTTTCCTTTAGTACAAATTATACTACATTCACTCATTTTCCAGATTAGCTGTCTGACTTGACCTTCATCCTGTCTCCAGTGGGATTGGCAGAGATGTGGGTGTGGAGAGGAGCTCACAAGGATGAGGAGTGAAATGACCTTGCAATGCCTTCAGAATAGGGACCCGGTGGACTGGGCATGGAAGTTAGGAGCTTCTCCTCGATGCCAGGCCAAGCCCAGCAGAAATATCTTTAAGGAGCTGGATATAGGTTCAAGGATATTACCTGGACATTTTGAATCTGTTCATGATGTCTGATTGTGACCGCTTTTTCTTATCAAACATTTCATCTCCCAAGGTGACGAAAATCTGCTCTCTATTTCGAATGAGGCGATAGCCAGGTGACACATTTATCACTTCCTGGGCATCAAGGTGGAAGGTGAGATAATATTGCAGACTTGGAGTGCTGCGACTCCTCCAAATCTTCCACTACAGTGCTACTCACTTCTTAAACACAGAAATATGAGGTGGGATTCCAGAGCCCACATCCCTCCTGGACCCTTCCCCAGTTACTACTCACTCTCATACCTCCAGCCCAGATGTCTCTCCTGAGACCCAGTTGCAAGACTCAAGTTGTTCCTGGATGTTCCCCCAAATCTCTCAAGCCAACATGTGCAAACCTGACTGCTGACACCCCACTTAGCACTCTGCCTCAAGCCCTGTGCCTTGCCTGCATTTTCCACATGGCCAGAGGCCAGGAGGCAGTCAGGTGCCATGGAGATTGCTCAGTTTTGGGAATTAGATAGGCCTGTGTTCAAATCGTGGCTCTGCCCCCAACCACAGTTATTCAACATCTGTGTGCCTCAGTTTCCTCATTAGAAAACGAGGATACTAACTCTTCCTCAAAGGGCTTCAGTGAGGGAAAACCAAAATAACATGAGAAAATGTCTAGTACAGTCGTGAAAACGAACAAACACACCTATTTTAGTCAGTTCTTCCTCTGTTCCCCATTAGATCAAAGTCAGGAATCTGGCAGGGTTACCAGCCGGCAGAGACCAGGGTGAGACTGTACCTCCTAGAGTTGGGCAGGACACCACTAGGTGCCACAAGCCCTGTTATTGTTATCTCCGAAATGTATCCCAACTTCCTCTTCTTCTCTCCACACTTCTGTCCAAGAGCCCAAGGCCACTTTCATCTTTCTCTTTGGCTTTGGCCATACCCTCCTATCTAGCCTCTCTGCCTTCAATCTGGCTCCTCGAGGGCTCATCATCCTCTCCATCTGGAGGGTAATTACATTTTTGTTTGTTAATTTTTTTTTCCTATTAAGGAACTGCATGATTTTTGTAGTAGTGAAAAAACACCAATAGTATCCCATCAGATAACATTTTTTTCTAGAATGTAAATCTTACCTGGTGTTATGCCTGTGAAGGCTCCCAGACAGCAGAAGGAGGCCCAAACTCCTAGGCAGCTATCGAGATCCTTCTGGGTTTAGTTCCCATCTTTTTCTTCAGCGGAGTCCTGGCTCTGCTCCCCTGAAGTGCCCTGATGACCCCCCCATTTGTGGGTTCCCAAATGTGGCAGTGGGATTCCAACATTTGGGCATGAGCTGTACTCTAGCCTCGACTGGCTGTCAATGTCTGGTTTCCCTGGAACACTCTCCTTGCCTGACACAAGGCAGTAGGGAGTAATAGTTAGATGCCCTCTCTTGGATCTGTGTTCAAATCCTGCCCCTGCCCCCAACTATAGTGATTCAACATCTACGTGCCTCAGTTTCCTCATCAGAAACTGAGGAAGGTACATGTAAAAGGCCCGCACACAGCAGGCACTAAATAAATGGTAGTCCCACTACCCTCTTGGTTTTTTTTTTACTCACATAGGGTAATTTATTGCTCTCCTCTTGTTTTCCTAACTGGACTTTTACTCTGCAAGAGAAAGCAACCAGGGAGCAAAGAAAAGTTCATAGCTTAGAAGCTACACCCTGATCCCACCACTCATCTGTGACATTAGTAGGATGATATCTGAGGCCCCTTTCAGCTCTCAAAATATTCTACTCAGGAACTAGGGAATGTTCGATGGTCAAGGGATCATTGATATACAGATTGTGATAAAAAGGCAGGTAGTAAAAAAGTAGGAAGTTGACTAGTCATGCCTATTAGAACCATTCCTACAATAAGAGCCAAGAAATTGGGATGAGAATCCAAAGGGCTCTCCCATGGTCCATAATCTCCAATGCACACACTAGGGACATTTACATTGCACAAAAACCTTTCTTATTTGCACCAGAAATTGGTGATATGGGACCTCAAACTGTCAGTGAAATGAATTCAGGATAAGCAAATGGTTACTATTCTGAGTTCTGGTGTTAATCCTGGTCATAACTAGTTGTTTTCTGTGCAGAAACATGAACATATCAGGTATCCAAATAGCAAGAGTATTTGTAAGGGAGCTCACCTGGAAGGTTGAAAGATTGTAATAAGAGTAACTAGCTTCTGGTGTGCTGACAAGAAGACTAACTAGGCTGAGGTATATGAAGCTAGGGCCTCTTCCCTCTGGCTCACACACACTTGCACGCATACTTTCTGGCAACTACTGTGAAAAGAGACAAATGAAACCTGTTCTAAGAGTTCCATTTCCTCCATGATCAAAATCACCACAATGTCTTTAATGGTTGTGGAGTGGTTACCAGTATGAGACTGTTCCAAAGTCCGCTGGGTGTGGGGTGTGCGATTGGGAGGATTTTTCCAGGTGGAGGCACTTCTACCTTGGTTAATAAAGTCTGGTTTTGCTCCCACATTTCCTACCCCGAGAAGGGGCATTGAAGACTCTGTTGAGAAAACCAGCCCAAGGATTTGGCTACTCTAGATATGACCACCAATCTTTTAACTGGCAAAAACATACTCTTTGTGGCAAAAAAAAAAAAAAAAAAAAAATGGGCGCGAGTACACACTATACATTGTTAATATAATGAAGCTCACATGCATTTTAAAAGGTTTAAAACTACTGGGGCACCTGGGTGGCTCAGTTGGTTAAGTATGTGACCCTTGGTTTCAGATCAGGTCGTGATCTCAGGGTGGTGAGATCAAGCCCTGAGCTGAGCTACACACTCAATGGAGAGTCTGCTTGGGATTGTCTCTCTCCCTCTGCCCCTCCTTCCCACACACTCTCTTTCTAAAATAAATAAATAAATCTTTTTTAAGGAAAAAATATTTTAGGGGCATCTAGGTGGCTTAGTTGGTTAAGCATCTGCTTTTGGCTCAGGTCATGATCCCAGGGTCCTGGGATCGGCCCCGTGTTGGGCTCCCTGCTCAGCAAGGAGTCTGCCTCTACCTCTCCCTCTGCCTCTCTCCCCCACTTGTGCTCTCTCTCTCTAATAAATAAATAAAATCTTTTAAAAAAGATTTAAAACCATTTAAAATACAACTCAACTCATATCAACTATATGCTCCCATTCATAAATTGGAAACTCTTTAAAATGTTAATTTTGTTTGCTTACTCTGAATTTAGAAAAGCCTTGGGATGATGGTGGTGGGGTGGTGGGGGAATTACTAAGTAGCCTGGGTCTCTTTAAAAAGCTGCCTCTGGGGGCACCTGGGTGGTTCAGTGGTTGAGCATCTGCCTTCCGCTCAGGGCATGTTCCTGAGGTCCTGGGCTCGAGTCCTGGATTGGGCTCCCTGCAGGGAGCCTGCTTTTCCCTCTGCCTGTGTCTCTGCCTCTCTCTCTGTATCTCTCCTGAATAAATAAGTAAAATCTTTAGAAAAAAAAAAAAAAGCTGACCATAGATTGAGTTTATGTCTTTTTTTGTTTGTTTGTTCTTAGTAGTTCTCCTTGAGTAGACACCTTCCACAGCATTGCACTCACTTCAGAACTGCTCCAAGGGTCAGAGTGTGGCTTCATAGGAACTTACTTTGTTGGGATTGAATTTCATGCTCTGAAAAGTAAAAGGTGTAGTCGATCCAGAATGACTCTCCCTGATTTTTTTTTCCTTCTCAGCCTGTTCAGATTACTCAATTACACTATTTTGATACTTTATTTATTTTTTTAAAAAAGATTTTATTTATTTATTCATGAGAGACACAGAGAGAAAGAGAGAGGCAGAGACACAGGCAGAGGGAGAGCAGGCTCCATGCAGGGAGCCCGACATGGGACTTGATCCTGGGTCTCCAGGATCATGCCCTGAAGGTGGCGCTAAACCGCTGAGCCACCCGGGCTGCCCTATTTTGATACTTTATTGATGCCAGTCAAAGCACTTCACATTTTCTCATTTAATAAATTCAATGAGTGATCAATGCATGCAAACCAAAGTGCTCAATGCCAAGAGAAATGGAATGACATGTGATACTTTTTAAGAAGACAAAAAAAGGCACATAAATATTGAAAATAGGAGCAAAAGTCAAGTGCTATAAAAAATTGCAGATAAAGCAATTTGTCAACTGTGTCTCCCAGAAATTGAGAGCACTCAGTCTACTGCCATTTTTAAGGCTCCTGATACATTAAAAAAAATTGTCAAAACAAGGTTATGACAGTTGTGTTATAGTTCATATTTAAGAATTAAAACTTTTTAAATACAAAAAGTACATTGTATGTTTGCAAGAAAATTATAGGATTCATAAAAAGGATGTAATTCACAGAGATGTGTGTTTGAGGCCAGAGGCCCAAGTTAAAAGTTGACTGGTGAACAGATTCTTCATGTCCCCTTTTGTAGGTTATGTCAATATCTACCTGAGCCCCTTCCTGAGAATGAGGCCAAGAGAAACTGGCCCTTCTCCTCCTGGCTGCTCCATTTCCTAGCCTCACTCAGTTCTGACTCAGTAGGACATGGAGACTGGCTGATGTGGAACCCCAGTAGGATCTCACGGAAAAGTTGTAAATATGATGAACAGGTCTTTGAATTTTAAAAGTAACCACAAAGCATCCCTTACCATATTTCAGAGGAGAATGAGGACAGTGTTAGCAGGGGCTAATTGATGGATAGAGTGGAGCCGTGGGAATGAGTGAGGTTGCTCCCAACAAGAGGTGCTAGGAAACTGAGACATTGAGCTTGACTATTAATAGGGGTCAGATAAAACTCACAGGTGTGATCATGCTGGGTGTGCTGGCACACAGAAGTCAGGCACTAGGAACCAACTCACTTATGCAGTCATTCAATTGATCCCTTGTTATGAACATTCCCCTCCAATCAGGCTTTATCACCTGCACCATTGAAACAACCCTCTTCACTGTCACCAATGACCTTCAGGTCACTAAATCCAACTGTATTTCTCAGCCCTCATCTTAATTACTTATCAGCAGGATTTGACATAGATAAACAGACCCTCCTTGGAACATTGTCATTTTGCTTCCAGGATACCAGGGAGATGAAGACTCATCTCCCTCACTAGCCATTCTTTGTCAGTCTTCTCTTTGGGATCTCTCCAATATCTCAACACTAGAGTGCTCTGGGTCTCTGTCTTCCCACCTCTTCCTACCTCTGGCTTCACTCCCTGCCTCAGAGATCTCATTTGGGGCTAGGGCTCTAAGTATCTCGTATACGTTGATGATTGTCAGATGTGTATCTGCAGCCCAGACCTCTCTCCCACACCCACTTATCCAACTGCTTTCTTGACACTGCCACTTGGATAGTACGAGGCATCTTAAACCTCCTATGCTCAAACCCCTATGAATGTGCACCTCCTGCAGTCTTCCCCAATTGCAGAAAATGGTAACTCTATCCTTCCTGTTGCTCAGCTCCAAATCTGGAAGTCATCCTTGACTACTTCTTTTGCTTTTTTCTCATAGTTAACCACAATTCCATTAGCAGATCCTACCAATTTCTACCTTCAGAATATTTCTCAAATATAACCACTATTCCCCACCTGTGCTGTTTCTACCAGGTCCAAGAACCATCTCTTACTCGGGTCCCTACAAGGACATCCCTTCTCTACTTCTACCCTTGGTCACTGTAGTCCATTCTCAGCACGGTAGCCAGAATAGTCCTTTCAAAACAAGTTGGATCATGTCAACTGGAACCCTCTGATGGCTCCCCATCTGTAATGGACTAAATCGTGTCCACCCAAATTTCATATGTTGAAGCTCCAAACTTAGTACCTCAGAATGTGACAGTATTAAAGATAGGGCCTTTAAAGAGGGATTAAGGTAAATGAGGCCATTAAGGTAGGCACTAATCCAGCCCTACCAGTCCTTGTAAGAGAGAGCACACAGACACACCAGGGATGTGCATCTACAAAGAAAAGACAATATGAATAGACAGCAAGTAGTTGGCCATCTGCAAGTCAAGGGGAAAGTCCTGAGAGGAAACCAACCCTGTGGCACGTTGGTCTTTGACGTCCAGCATCTAGAATTGTGAGAAAATAAATTTATGTTGCTTAAGCTACACAGTCTGTGTTTTTTTGTGTGCTTGCTTTTTTTGTTTGTTTTGTTTTTTGTTTTTCGGTATGGCAGGCTTAGCAGCCAATACATAGTCCCTCTTGAAGTAAAAGCCAAAGTCCTTATACTGGCCAGTAAACTTTACAAATTTCCTATTGCTGCTGTAAAGAATTACTACAAGCTCAGTGGCTTAAAACAAAACCAACTCATTGTCTTACAGTTCTAGAGGTCAAAATCTGGAATGGTTCTCACTGGGCCTAAAATCAAGGTGTTGACAGGGTTATATTCCTCCTGGAGGCTCCAGAGGAAACTTTGTTTCCTTGCCTTTTCCAGCTCCTAGAAACTCTCTGTGTTCCTAGTGGCCTTTTTCTCCATCAAAGCCAACAACTGCATCACTGTGCTTCAATGGTCACATCTCCTCTTTCATGCATAAGGACCATTGTGATGACACTGGGGTTGCTCAGATAATCCAGGATGATCTGTCCATCTCAAAGTCAGCAGATTAGCAAACAAAATCCATCTGCAACCTTAATTTCCCCTGATGAGTAACAGAACATAATCCTAGTTTCCAGGGATTAGGATGTGGACACCTTTGGGGAGTCCATTATTCTGCCAGTGACATCCATCATCTCTCCTACCTCTCTGACCTCATCTCCCACCACTCTCTCCTTACACCCTCCACTCCTGCAACACGGGCCTCTTTGATTTCCTGGAAAAGACCAAATGGGTCAAATAGTTTCCCACTCAGGGCCTCTATACTTGCTGTTCCCTCTGCCAGGAGTGCTAGACCCGATGTCAGCAGGTTCCTGCTATCCTTTTTATGCAAGGATTGCCCTGAATTCCCTATACTCCACCCTCACCAACTTCTCCTTCCTTTGCCTGTGTTATTTTCTACATAGCACTTGGATGCATTGGGTATATTAACTTGTTTATATCTATTCTTCTCACTAGAATGTAAGCTCAAGGAGCAGAGACTCTGCTATGTTCACTGCTGTTTCCTTGCACTTCAAATAATGCCCAGCAAATAATAGGAGCTCAATAAATATTTTTTAAATAAATAGAGTGCAAGGATTCATGAAAAGGCCTACAAAATAATTTGAATAATTTTCTAAGCTTACAAAATATGGACAAAAAATTAATTTGTGAGTAAAACCAGATCTGTAATCTACAAGAAACTTTAGATATAGAAAAGTAATCAGATAAAGGGTGAGTCACCCCCATAAATGCCAGGGAGGCTCCCCAAGGTTCTTGCCTATGGCATGTATCACATATTGTTCCTTTTTAGGGCAGGAAGTAGTAGCTTTCAGGGGTGTCCTAACTGAGAGCTCCTTTTTTTTATGACTTTGAAAGCTGTGAGTGAAGAAGGCCACACAATATACATGAGGATCTGAGGTTTGGGGGAAATCATTGTAGGTTATGGAACTTTCTGCCCCCATGGACATGAAAATACTTACTTTGGGGCAACAACAGGTTTTGTTATTGGTTGGACATACTTTTGGTTTTTGGCAGCTGGAGGAAGAGGAGTTAGCCTGAAAGTGAAAAATAATGAAAGAGAGAAAATTAGAAATTCAGAAACTTGTCTTAGCACTCCCAGATTGTTTAGATGGCCATGATGACTCAAAATTGCAATACTTGCTCTCACTGCTGAAATCTTAAAAGTCAGGAAGGTCTTGAGGAGTTTCTAGCAGGAGGAGGTTCACTTGAGGAGCTTTGCTTCCCAGGGGATCCTGAGTTGGCAGCACAGATTGTTCCCCATGACAAAGCTCCTTGTCCCCCATGGGGGGCTGTGGGGCCCTACCCTTCCCTGCTGCACTCACTCTGAGATTTCCTCATTTAAAATGACAGTGAGCTGAGGCAGGACTGGCAAGAGTGATATGCTGCCAACAGGTTGCATTGGGTGCAGATGCATTGGGTATATTGGTTGACTGGTTCCCAGGTTGACTGGGAAAGTTGTATAAAGTTAGGCTTTCTGGGATCCCTGGGTGGCGCAGCGGTTTGGCGCCTGCCTTTGGCCCAGGGCGCGATCCTGGAGACCCGGGATCGAATCCCACATCGGGCTCCCGGTGCATGGAGCCTGCTTCTCTCTCTGCCTGTGTCTCTGCCTCTCTCTCTCTCTCTCTCTCTCTCTCTCTCTCTCTCTGTGACTATCATGAATAAATAAAGAAAAAAAAAGAATATAAAAAAAATAAAGTTAGGCTTTCTGGCCTTCTTGGGGTTTTGTTGCCTAGTTGACTGGAAATATTGTAAGAGAAAGAAGACTGCAAATGGAAACCAAGTCCCCAGGGCCTACTCCTTCCTTATAATCCTTACTTGGGCTTCCCTGTTGGGGTCTTGCTTGGTGGCTGAGGGGTCTTGATTAACTTCCGTGGTCCCAAGTTCCAGGGGTCCCAGCAGGTGCAGTAGATGAGAGGGTTGGGGTACATGGTAAGAGGTCAGTGGCAGTCTTGGGCACTAGATCACGAGGCTCTTGCTGAAGTGGGAAAGTAACAGCAGAGAGTTACACCATTCAGAGTCAAAGCAAAACACTTAGAAAAAAATTAGAAAGAACCCAGAGAAGATCCAAAGCACAGATGGTAGATTCTGAAAGCTGTTGATCTGGTGCAAGGTCTTGACTTGCACCAGATAGATAGAATAATTCCTCACCCCTTGGCACCAGCAGACCTGACTTGAAAGCAATTAAAAATTTGCCACCATTGAGTACTTGCTGTGAGCCAGGTACACCATAAAAGATCAATTATTGTTATGGCAATTTTACCGATGAGGATACAGAGAATCCTCCATATGATCCCAGAAGTAGCAAGTTTCAGGGTTGAGAATAAACACAAATTTCCCTGACTCCTAAGCCCTTGTCCTCTGGCCACGCTAGCCGTCACTGAAATGAGAAGTCTAGAGTAGATCATGATACAGAACTTCCTGGAAAATTAACTCTGTTACTCAAATTACAGTGCAAGTGAATGTTCCAGTTTCTCATTCCTGTTCACCTGCCCAAATTATAGATCAGTTATAGACTCTTCCTTCTTGGCTCCATGAAAACAAAACCAAAAATCCCTATTATAAATGTCTGTGTGAAAGACAACTATCAGATAAACACAGAAGCTTGACCATACTTGTTTATCTGTATTTTCCGGGACACCACTAAAATGATAGCATGGGATTGTGAGATAGACAAAATATATATTGGTTCTTGCCCTCAGTTCCTGACACAGGGCTCCTGAAATCCTTGTGAATCCCTAAGTGATAAGAGCACTAGGAGCATCATTGTTCTAATTGAGGCAACTCTGGGTGGGCTCCAGTTTGGGGGCTGGTCACCAGAAAAAAACAAGGCATGTTTAAAAACTTAAGAGTTTTCAGCCTCAGTCCCTGCCTCCATCCTCTGAGGAGGGGAGAGATGTTGGAAATGGAGTTAAAAACTGATCATACTGTGAGGAAGTCTCCATAAAACTCCCAGAAGTATGGGATTCACAAACACATGGGTTGCGAACACATCCACATTGGGAGGGTGACACACCTGGACTCCATGACGACAGAAGCTTCTGCGCTTGGGACCCTCTCAAGCCTCACTGTGTGTATCGATACATCCTGCTATTCATCTGTATCCTTTATCATCTCCTTTAATACATTGGTAGATCCAAGTAACTGTTTCCCTGAGTTCTGTGAGCTGTTCTAGTAAATTACATAATATTTGCTATGAACCTCTGATTTATAGCTGATGGGTCAGAAGCAGAAATGACAATGTGGATTTGCATTTGGCATCTCCGGGTGGGGTGCAGTGCACAGTCTTTCAGTACTGAGTCCTTACCTGTGGGATCTGGTAATATCTCCAGGTAGACAGTGTCAGAATTGAGGCAAATTATAGGACTCCCAACTGGTGTTGCAGAGAATTGCCTGGTGGGGGAAAATCCACATACATCTGGTGTTGTGAGTGTGGTAGTTGTGTGAGAGCAAAGGAGACACACAGGAGGAAGGACTGGCTTTTCTCCTAGCTCGAGGATTAAAAGAGGTTTAATTTGACAAGAACAGGGAGAGTGGGAAAGGAGACAGAACTGCACAAGGGTTGTCCATGCAAGTTTGACCCAATAACCCCCCTCTCCCCACCCATGCCGCTCAGCACACCATAGGAAGCTGCAGCCTACATACCTGCAAAGTGGGTACAGAGCAGAAGGGGCCAATTCCCACATCAAGGGCGCCCAAAGACTCAGGACTTGGAATTAGTGGATTATTGGATAATATCGACAGGCCTCTGGCAGATATGTTGGATCACATAGTAGGCCAGATGCTGCGCCCTCCCTGCAAACATGTCCAGGCCCCCATCCCTGGGACCTGTGTATATGTCACCTTATGTGCAAAAAGAAGAATTGCAGCTGTGATTAAATTGAGGAACTTGAGAAGGGAGATTATCCCAGATTATCTGTGTGGGCCCAGATAAACCTCCTTATAAGAGGGAGGGTCAGAGTCAGAGAAGAAAATGTGATGATGGAGGAAGAGATAGGAGTGATCAAGGAAGGGCCATAAGCCAAGGAATGTGGGTGCCTCTAGAGGCTGGGAAAGGCAAGGATGATTCTCCACTAAAGCCTTCAGAAGGAACCAAATCCTGTCAACATCTTGAATTTAGCCCAGTGCAACCCATTTCAGATATATGACCTGAGAACTATAGGAGAATAAATTGGTGTTGTTTTAAGCCACTAAGTTTGTGGTAATTTGTTACAGAGCAGTTGTAATAGGAAACAGAGCAATTAGGGTGAAATTACTGATAGAAACATAAGAAAAACATGAAGACTCCTAACTCTGGGAAATGAACTAGGGGTGGTGGAAGGGGAGGAGGGCACTGAGGGTGACGGGCACTGAGGGGAGCACTTGATGGGATGAGCACTGGGTGTTATTCTGTATGTTGGCAAATTGAACACCAATAAAAGATAAATTTATTATTAAAAGAATAAAAATAATAAAATAACATGTAGAAAAAGAAAAAAAAGAAACATAAGAAAATAAAAATTGCATAATGACTCTTACAAATATTATGTAAGAAAGGAAACATGGTTATAGTAAGGAACAACCATATATGTATATATATGTTAACTATCACTATATATGTATATGAGTGTCAACACTTAATAGTGATTTAACCTAAAAGTGAATGGAGACTACATCGGAAGAGCTGGGAAGGGGAAGGGAGAGAGGGCATACAGGACCAAATCCTCATCTACCACACCAGTATGTCAAAAGATAATGGCTAAAATTGAAAAATTAACAAATGGAGTGGAGGCAAATTATTCAGAAGTATGAAGTTAAATTCCAAAAGAAATAGCTATGGAGTACCTGGGACCTGGGTGGGTCAGTCGGTTAAGCGTCTTCCTTTAGCTCAGGTCATGATCCCTGGATCTTGGGATGGAGCCCCACACCGGGCTCCCTGATCTGTGGGGAGCCTGCTTTTTTTCCCTCACCCTCTGCCACTCCTGCACTCCCCCTACTTGTGCTCTCTGTCTCTCAAATAAATAAGTAAAATCTTTAAAAAGAAAGAAAGAGAGAGAAAGGGAGAGAAAGCAAGAAAGCAAGCTACAAGAGTTGAAAATAGTTGCCCCTAAGGAGCATGCTGAGGAGTAGAACTGAGAAATGAGGTGGGGGTGGGAGCAGAAACTAACTTTTCATTAATCAGCTTGTAACACAATTTATTTTTTAAGTGATTTCAGTGGATTATTTGATAGAAAATAAAAACCAATGCCAAAAAATGTTAGGAGAACAAACTAAACAACAGAAGCATTACAATGATAGCAGATTTAACTCAAATTTCTAAGTCAGAGACTGGTTTCCCATAGTGCACTGGAATAAATTTGCTTAAGAATCAGCTGAAAAATGAAACAAACCCTTTTGTGTGACATGACTGATGCTTGAGAAACTCAGCTGCATGGTCTGGTAACTTTTAGAGCTAAAGGTAACTGTAATATTGAGTCCATTTTACAGATGAGGAAACAGACTCAAAACGATGAAGTGACTCCTGGGCTGCCTATAAATGCTCATTTAATAGCAAAAATACTTATGGCTCTTGCCGCGAGGACGGTGCTAGCTGCTGGGGGAGAGGGAACGCATGCACCTTGCCCTTGGGGAACTTGTGGTGGGGAAGGTAACCATCAGAAAGGGAGCAGAGTGGGGGGCAGATGCGGTGCCAAGGCAAGAGACCAGGCCTTGGAAGAAAGGCAGGGTGTACAGGTGGAGGCAGGACGGGCTGGACCAGAGGCATGGGCCCAAGGTGCGGGGCGGCCAAGAGATGGGGGAAACAGCAAAGGCCTAAAGGCCAGGTAACAGGGCTGCTACCTTGGGCTGTGTTCTGTTGTGCTTGGGGGCCTAGCCAGGCGATCTCAGGGAGACAGGGCTGGGGCAGCAGGTGGCGTGGAACACTATGGCTGAGAAGGTGAGGCCACAGGGGCTAGAAGGCGCGTGAGTCTGAAAGGAAGATGTAGCCATGGCAAGAAAGAATCTCTGCCACTGCTTCAGACCCGTATCTGCTTCCTATGGGGGCAGGGACCAGTCCTGAACTTGGGTACTGGCGCAGGAAGTGAGAGGACAAGCAGTTCAGCTCCCAGCAACTGCCTTCTTTATTCCACTTCTCATCTGCCCAACCAAATCGTAGGGTTCTTGAAGGGCAGGACTCCACCGTGTCATTGTCTGGGTCCCTGTGGAGCCTGGAATAGTGACTGTCCAAAGTGGGTAACTGGATAAATATTTGTTGCCTAATAAGCCCAGTGGCTCAAACTAGAGGGACCGACTCACCAAGGAGGAAGGAAATCCACAGATGAGCCACGAAATGTGATCGTTGTTACAATGTTATAGACAACGTCAAAAATTAGAATTAAAAAACCAAAATGATTGGCAAATTATTGTACAGTCACTCAATGGAGTTTTACATAGGTTTTAACTGATTATTTGAAACCCTGTGGGAACATGAAGAAATGGTTAAGAACTAAGATATAAAATGGTATCCATGCAATGCATACAATTATGCAAAAGTTGGTGCCTATATGCACAATAGTTAGAAAATAATATGGTAAAAAATGAAAATTGGGCCAGAATATCAGAATTATGGGTATTTTTCTCCCCCCACGGCATTCTTTCCTAAAATTTTCTTTGGGTTTTGGAATCAGGTGGGCCTGACTTTGCCTAACAGCTCCTCTACTTAATAGCTGTGGGACCTCAAGACATTTACCTTTGCTTTTCGGAGTCTCAGTTTTTTTATCTGCAAAATAGGGACATGGAAGTTCCACCTCATTGTATTGTCATGCACATGAGATGAGACCATGTCAGAAAAGCTCTTGGCACATGGCCTTGAACACATTAGGTTCTCAAAAACTGGTAACTGCATTTAGGAATATTATAAACCCTTAGTGATATTTTTGCATACCAAAGTTTTTATTTCTAATATTTGGAGAAA